TTGGAGGGGTGTGTAGCTCCCCCAAACACCCTTGACGAAAAACCCAGACGTTACATCAACACAGCTCCCCATAACCCGTCAGCCTCCACCATGACTCTTTGTACAGTGACTGTCAGCCAACCCTGTCCAATTAAAGAGATAATCACATATCATTGCATCACACACACACACACACACACACACCACCACCACAATGGCCTAATACATCTTAATAGCTGACGTAACAGAGACTTCCACGAATATAACCTCATTGTGACAATTACCACTTAAGTGCTGCATGATCATGTGTGGCGTCACCGAAGGGAAGTAACAGGGAGAGCCTCAGGAGTCATGAGTATGTAACATCTCAGGGACCTTTTGTGTAAGACGGCGGCTTGTAATCCTACCACAAGTATAATGGTGTTATAGTGACATACATGTTATATTATGGTGTTATGGTGGCATACATGTTATATTATGGAGTTATAGTGGCATACATATTATGGTGTTACGATATATTTAATGATCTCTCTCCGTCCCATATTTACAACCTACTGTATATATTTATCTACCAATCATGGCAATTCACTTTTTAGGGGCAGTAATTCTGGTGACTACCGAACAATATGGTTTATATTTAGACCTACAGGGCAAAAAACTTCAGTTGACAATGACCAGACGGGTTAACATAGCGTCAGCCCATCTGGCCAGTGTGAACTAAACTATTTTGCACTGTAATGTTCCTGAGTGAAAATTGTAAACTCATGAAACAGTCTGCCAGAGATTGTTGTGACGGCACCGAGTGTGAGCTCATTCAAGACCAAACTTGACCAACAATGGAGCAGGTTGAGATACAAGCAGGAGCCAATTGGCCCAATACACGCCTTAGTACTTGCCAACAGTGTAACGGAGCTTTATCAGTTTACTTTCAGTTTACTTTATCTTTTTCCCCAGGTATTCCCCGGTTTCCTTAATCCTGTACTAACACTGAACATCGTGCAAAGAACAGACCGACCGCCCGAACGGCTAGTGAGCAGATGATTAGTAGCTATTATAAATTAGATAAGTCTTATTCTGAACACGAACGTAGATTTCAAATAATTGAAGCTGGGCTCACCTCTTTCATTGACACTTGACAACACCGCAGTTCACATATAATAAGAAGCGGAAGATGGAAAAAATCGACTCTAATCTAGGGTTTGGCTGACTCCAAAAGGTAACATTTGCCGCCATTGTATATCGGTATCTTTTCTCTACTTAACCTTAACCAGAGAGAGAGAGAGAGTGTGTGTGTGTGTGTGTGTGTTAGGTGAACGCATCCATTTAATGAGAGCAAGAGCAAGGAGTTTAGTACTAGTGAAGGATGACTCACTCCTGTGGGCGAATGCGTTCACCTCCCAAAGTAGCACTGACAAGCGGCTGGAAAGTCAACTAAATAATTACCAGCAAGAAATAAAGGCAGGAAGGAGAAAGTTTCGGCGAAATCACGATTCTCTCTGTTTTGTACATGTCATTGTGGCAGCTGTAATAGGGCCACGGTACTTCGCAGCTATTGTTATTCTAGCAAGTCGTTAAGGAACAGAAACGTTGTTTCTTTCGATTTCCGAAAGATAAAGAGAGGTGAGGCATACACGTCGTTACACATACGTCTGTCAATGTTGACTGTTCATTAGTTTATATGAGCGCTTTCTATATTTAATGCATTTAATACTGATAGCGTTTATAATGAGACAAATCTCACAAGAAGAAGATTACATATAGGTAGAATATTGATAGTATAAGAGTATAAAGAGAGGAAGATTTTGGTAGCGTGGCCGTGATATATATTTACACTGTCAGTACACTTATCGTATCTTATACGTCAATACACATTTATTACGTTCTTAAAGGCGACTTCTCAAACACTGCTTCGTTACAACTCTTTATTAATTACGAACATGACATGGACACATTAATAACACCTTCTATTGAAGTTACGAGGACATTATATTACGTTACTAGACGCTCTGACTCTCGGACACGAACATGAAATGAATACACTTCCCACATAAGTAACTCATCCCGTGGAAAGCTCTGACAAACACTCACGTGACCTAGGGAAGGCCTTGCAGGGAGACTGCTTAGCTGGAACACTGGTGTCGGGAGGGCGACTGCTTAGCGGGGACACTGGTGTCGGGAGGGCGACTGCTTAGCTGGGACACCGGAGGGAAGTCTCGGTCCTGACCGGAGGCGACTTGCCTCCGGCCCCTGACTTCTCTCGAGCGGGACTCGGGGACGTCGTAACTGGCCACCTTGTTACAAGACAACTCTCTCTCTGCGAATGCCTGAGGGAGGACTAGGACGTCCTATATATTGGGATGCGAGCCGTGAGGTTGAGCTGGCCGGGGGGGGGGGGCGGCGAAGGGTCTCCTTACATTTGACCTCGCTAATGTAGGGTCAGGTCTGGACTTTGTTCAGAGACTATAATTTATATCTTCTGGAAAAGTCATCAGGTGGGGCCTTGTGTATATTGGGAGAGAGCCGGCCGGTGCCCCCTTACATGTGTGACATGGGAGGGGTGCCTGGCTGATTTACAATCCTTGGTCAACCGCAGAGTTACCCTATACTTTTGACCTCCCTAATGTCGGGTCAAGTCTGGACTGTTTACAGAGACTATAAGTTGTACTTTCTGGAGAAGTCATCAGGTGGGGCCGTGTGACATGAGAGGCCCTGGTTGATTTGTGGCCCCTTGAGTTGGGCTCCGAGGGTTACATTTGACCTGGCTAATGTGAGGTCAGGTCCGGCCTCTCTCTGCGATGTAGGTTATTGTATATTGGGAGAGAGTCGGCTGGTGCCTTCTTACATGTCTGTTGTGGTGACATGTCACATGGGAGGGGAGCTAGTTGATTTGTAACACCCTTGAGCACCTGCGAGGGATACCCTTACACTTGACCCCCCTAATGTCGGGTCAAGTCTGGCTTTCCTTGCGATGTAAGCTGTGGTCTGACAACCCATCACTACACCTCCCGCCAAGACCAAAGCTTTCATGCTCAGAGAACTGATGACACATTTAAAGTAGACAGTAACATCATGTGCAGTATCTAATATAGTCCCTGAGGCGATAATGCATCCTTACATTTTATAAATTATAACCCTAGAGATGTATGTTTTTCTACTGGCATAGTTTGATCTGACAAAGCTTACTATACCTCCCGCCAAGATTAAAGCTTCTATGACAGGAGAAAAAAATAAAATACATACACAGTAAGTGAACATAGAGTGATCTAAAGATCCTTCATATCTAGCATAGTGTCCGAGGCAAACTTGCAAATCACATTCTACAAACAAAAACAGGTGTTACATTGCCTAACCAGGCCTTGTCAAAATAATAATTCGTCCTTCTCAGTAGTATGTCTACAACATTGCATTTGGTAATCCAAAACATTGATCAAATGAACTCATAGAAAAAGTGACTAATCTTTTTAAAAAAACATTCTTTGTAGTACATGTTAACAAAAATCAGAGAATGAAATACTTCATACAAAATGCTCCTGCTTCACATGTTAGGGTGTTATATCTTTTTATTACACATCAGCAACATCAACAACATCAGTACATTTGTTGGGTCCAGCATGGCTCAAGTCCTCCATCCAGCTGGTATCTGAAAATAAGGAATGCTGGCAGCACAACAACGGTAGTCGGTTGGTCCTTCCGATGATCCACCTTTTCATCGTCGACTTTCTTCTGATGTCAGCACAGGACGTCTTCTGTCTTCACATAGCATGTTTTCTTTCTTCAATACCGCACTTTGTAGGTCGTGTCACCACATCTGACTTCCTCTCACTTCCTCCTGGTTTCTATAATATTCCAGATGATTTTTTGTTCACCTGCGCTTCCTCTACGTTTTAGAGCATTTTCATATTCCAGATGAATTTTCTGTTCATCTGCGTTTCTTTATACATCTTCATTTTCATATTCCAGACGATTTTTCTGCTCATCTGCGTTTCTTTATCCATCTTCGTTTTCCGTCATATTCCAGATGAATTTTTCTGCTCCATCTGACAACCCATCACTACACGTTTCACTCTTTAGAATTACTAGTAAGCATCAGAGGATCATTAGAATATAATTATAAGAGGAGCAGGATACTGTTGTATTCTCGAAAATATAGGCTGGAACTTTGACGTTTTCTGGCAGTATTAGTTTTAGGACCACGACTTTTGGATAAAATTATATGTTTTTCCTGTATACTTCGGTGTGTTTTAAATGGATTTCATATTCCGTTTACCTTTGTCTTGGCAATTTTGTATTGTTTCGTGAAAAACCCTAGTCAAGAATTGGTGGAATATAACCACGTAACCCATTACTCACGGTTCATGAAATCGAAAAGACTTAAATGATGCATTTATGACCAGGCATGTACAGCAGGAATGTTCCAGATGAGGGAGGCTGACACTACCCGGGGGAACTCAAAGAAGATCTACAAAACAAGAGTGAGGCTAAATCTCAGAAGACACTCGTTCACGAGTAGGGTTGTCAATAACTGGAATAGTTTACCTGGGTGGGTAGTGAATGTGGAGACGGTGGAAAAGTTTGAAGCAAAATTAGATAAATACTGGAAAAATCAACAACAGGTATATAATTTTAGAGCACAATTATCCGCCACACACAGCCACCGTCTGAGTAGAGAAGAGGCTATTGAGCTGAGTCACAGGCGTGAGCCTCTTCCAGAAGATCATCTGTGATCATCTGTGAGTAAAGCTGGTTAGTGTAAAGCTGTAGCTGCCACCATCACTCTTACTGAAGTTACCTAAGTAGACGAATAATTATCTTTTACTGAAAAATACAAATATTCAATGTGTTGCTTTGCTAAATTATCCCCAGATATCTAAAATGTTATGTCAATAACCTACTGACGAGTATATGTAAATTGTTTTACTTAATAATCCGGTGTTATCGTGTAAGATGCAATGGTATTAATGCGTGTGTCATTCCCCAGCCGCTTGACGTCGCTACTGTCGCCGAGGATCACTGAGTGAGTCATCCTTGTGTAGAGACTCCTTGGTGGGAGGTCAGGTGAACGCGGCCGTCAAGACTCCTTGGTGGGAGGTCAGGTGAACGCGGCCGTCAAGACTCCTTGGTGGGAGGTCAGGTGAACGCGGCCGTCAAGACTCCTTGGTGGGAGGTCAGGTGAACGCGGCCGTCAACATAAACAAACACACGTTGTCTGTCAGCTGAGGAGGACGTCATCCCACTGGAGGACGTCATCCCACTGGCTGTATATAGACAAGAGAGAGAGAGGCTGTAATGTTGTGTTAACCGCATGTATTCCTATATAGTGAAGCACAATGGCTGCTGAACTGTTGCGTTTGGGATTACTAGACGACCAACAGTACCATATGTTATTGAAGAAACTGATAAATGATACTGAATTTTCTGTTATTACTTGTGAGATACTTATAAAGGCTGTAGAAGCTAAAGAAGGAGCTAATAAATCTTCCGTTGATGTCTCACAAGATGTAGAATTGTATAATTTGTATCAGGAGTTATTAGAGCATTGTCTCTTACCTCGGCTACATAAGATAATTGGGAATTATTCTTATGCTGTGCAGAATAATCATTATCTGCTTCCTCATGTTCGTGATGCAGAAAAAAACAAATCAAGTTTATTATCATTGGATGACTTGCTCTCCCAAGATCATAATTTGAATGACCAGGAACTTGAAGAGTCATCAGATAAGCTGTTGAGGGATGATGAACTTATACTGGTGCCGAAACTATCACGAATAATTGTTGTAATAATGAAGATGGTCTCAGGCTTATCAAAATCACAAATACATACTGGAAATAGTGATGTAATTGATGGCGATTCCTTAGATAAAAAGAGTATCACTTCGCTAAAGACAATATTCGAGGGTATAAGTCAAAACCTTCCCGTGCGTCACCTTGATGCAGTCGTAGACGAAGAGCATCATAAAGTGAAGGTGTTGTCACTAATATTTGCCAATCTGTTGAAGGATGGCTGGTGTTTACGGCACTGCAGTCTCCGTCGGGCTAGCCGGATAGTTTTGGACGTGTCGCTGGCGGTGATTAAAGCGTCTCCCGATGCTGACATAACTGCACTCCTTCTTATGTTGATTATCCAGCCATTCTTAGACTTTAAGAATGATGACAAGAATGAAGTTATTCACAAGTTATGGCACATTGTTAAGAACTTTTATATTGTTGATGGTAACTTCATAACAGTGGAGAAGAATACAACAGGGTTCTTGATACTCTGCTTTATGGCAACTCATATGTTTGAAGATGGATGTTTCTCTCTAATTGGAGGTGATGATATATTGTGGAAGATTATTCAGTTTGGCCTTGTTCACACCAACCCACTGTCAAGAAAGAGATGTCAATATGTTCTCAAAAGATCCGTGGATTATTTTTCGTCGGAGTCAATAACGAAACTTAAATCAGAGTATATAAGTTGGCCTCGGGATAAAAATGACGAGGTAATAAGGTTTTGGAATGATTTCTTTCTCCTCGTTGAAAGTCTGGAGGAGAAGCAAGCCCATGTTGTAAGACCTGTCCTGGAAAAGTTGGATCATTTAATTAATATGTGTTGCAGTACTGAACACATATTTCATATTTCCTGGACTCTTGTAATATTCAAGAGGATTTTTGACCAAGATAATAAGAATATAAAGCAATGGGGATTAATGAAGATACTGAGGTTAAAGTTATCACAGGAAGTACTGGTTAAGGGTGTTCTCTTCTTTGTAAGGTTACATGTACTGCCTGCACTAAGTGACTACTGCCTTTACTCTCGTGATGCAGGTCAGCGCCCACGAACTCCCTCTACTGTTGGGGACCAGCTTGTATTATTTTTAGAGAATATCATTGTGTCCTTGGATGTAACCCAACAGAAATACTTTATGTGCTCTCTCTTAGAAACTCTTTTTGATGGAAGAGCTTGGGGTGGAATACCTTTGTTTTATCTCATTCGAGGACTGTCACTCATGCCAAAAACTGCTGTTTGGAGTTTTAAAGTTGTTAAGAGTGCTGTCTCTAATTTTGAGGGCTGTCTTAGTACCCAGGAAGTAGTTTTACGGTCAGCAAGTCAGTGTGATCTTTTAAAGGCAGTATTTAAGCACCTGGTACCTGAAGTAACTTTTCTTGAAATTTGTGATATTGTAGGTCATTTTAGAAGGAAGGAAAGTTGGTGTCGAGGTACAGTCCTGTGGAACACCATTATTAAGGAGCTTGACACCTTCCAGGAAACTTGGCAAAATAGATTTTTATTAATTGAATTAGCCATTAACAAAAGCCTCTCTTCCTCAGAAACTATTCATCCTCATGATATTGCACTGGGAGTAAATCTGCTTCTTGATAGCAATTCACTTCCTGATGATGTACCAGAAAGATCTTGTGTCATTGCCTTATTAAATCCATTAAGTAATTTCTTAAGGGACTGTCACATACGACCATACCTGGACCACAAGAAGCTCACGTGGGTTATGGAGATGTTAACTCAGACACTAGAAATATTTACTGATGTTCCTTCAGACTGTCCACAGAGGCCTGATAAGTCTGGTAAACATGTGTCATGCTTGGTTGAAGGTATTGACTGTATAGCACAATTATTTATCAGAGAGATCAGGAGGTACAACCAGCCTTATGATATTGAAATAATATCTCACTACCTAAGTTTATTTACTCAGTGTAGAAACTTAGAAAACCTGAAAGATGTATTAAATGTGCACTACCCAGAGCTACTTCAGGTATGCCATGTTCTTCTAGGTCAAGATAACGCTGTCAAGAACGCCTTTGGTGTTCTTCTACTGGAACATTTATTAGCACAGTATTATGGTAATACATCATCTGTCATTAAAGAAGACATGATGAATCTTGTGTATGAGAAGGTCATCTGTAACATAGAGAAAGTAACTCCCAGGAGACAAATTGACGGGTATAATTCCACCGAGTTTACGTCAAAGCTGCTGCTGGAAACCACTCGTAGTCGGTGGTGTTGTGTGTGGCTTCTGGTGCAACAGGTAATGATTCATTCCTTGTTGCTACAGTCAGCATTCATGGTACTTAAATACACTCTGTTTGGAGAAGGATTATACATAAGTTTTTTTAAATATTTTGTGTCAGTGAGGAAACATATCACCAGTCCATATGCAACCTATAGCTCATTACAAGTAACTAACTAAACCTATTTTCCTCCTGTTTTGTTTTAATTTTTTTCTTACATGTGAAAATGATAAGAAAACAACGATGATGACAGAACATAATTCAGTATTCCTTTACAGAGTGTATCACTGAAGGAAGAAGAATATGTGAGGTGGAGAAAAATAAAAACTGCTACAATATCTGCTTTACCATCTGCTGCTAATGCTGCTGGAACAATGAACGTGTTGCTCGTGTTTCAATTAGCTGTCAGTTTATCACCTTCCATAATAGAGGTACTGTTGAGCATTCTTTATTTCCAGTTTTTTTTTCTCTCTAAAATGGTAACTTTTGTATGATTTAGGGGCCAGAGATCAAAATCCTCAGAGTCCTGCAGTTAAAACTAGTCCATTTGAAAATCCTAAAAGCTTGATCCCATCCTTCCACTCTACCTGCCACACTTAGTATGTGCACTGATTGTAGGACTTCTTATGTACTTGTCAAAATAAAACCTCACCATAATTGTATGGGGGATCAGGAAACGTTTTCTAAAGGCATCAATTAACCCCCCAAAAAAATTCTCTTCTCAAAATTTCAGAACGGAATGTGGGAGGAGCTAACAAAGGTCATGTGGGACTCATCTCGGGAGTTTCGGAAGGGTTGTGACCTTTACCGATCGCTCATTGGCTGTGTCACTGATCTTCTCTTTTATGAGGATGCCATAACCAAGCCAGAGTGCCACGGATTCATTATTCAGGTCAGGTCAGGTTTCTATTCTATGTGATTCTTAGCTGATAAATGAAGAAACAATATACAGAATGCAGGGGAATTATTTTATCGCTGTATGTATCTCGATTACTTAGAACAGTATTGATAATGTTCGTACAAGATTGATGTTTCTCCTATTGTAAGAGGTTGTGAAATTTCTTTTATACCCAGAGAAGGTTGAGGACATAACCTGGCCTCACCTGCCTCCTAATGGTTTCCTAATTCATCTGAGTAATTAATGGTGCACAAGTAATGCATCAAGGACAAAAAAAAATTATTTAAATCTCAATTCACCATTAATGTCTCACAAGGGACAAGTATTGTGTTGAATATGACGCTATTTTGTGTTGTAAAAGAGTTACTGTATATGTACAAACAAACTGAACACTGGTCATTCAAAAACACCAATTTTTACCACTTCTTTGAAAATAGTAAATCAGTCATTCAGCAATGAGCCAGATACTCCTGTACCCCTGTCTAGTTAATGAACTTTTTTATTAAGACTGGCTGAGTTATAATGACATTTCGTTCCCTCATGAAACAGCAAGGATTCAAACTTGGTTCATTTACTGATTTACAATGAAATACTGTAAGAAACAGATATGGAAGCTCTTGTCTTCACTTGTTGGAGCTGTTGTATACAGGACAGACACGTCCACACTCTGTGATCAAATGTTTGGAGATGAAGATTAGTTTGTTGTTGTGATCCCAGGGTGTGACTGGACAAGTTACTAGAGTGATGTGCACTGCTTATGTGACACATAGACTTGATCAGCCTTCTGCTTTAAATAACCCACTCAGGACATTGACTATAACTCTAAACCTTCTTTAATTATTAAATTAATCCCAACTACTATTTCAGGGAGTTAATTTGGGTTCTAACTCCATACTTTTTGCAGGTTACAACATGAGAGTCACCCACAATGATAGTAAGGGCATAAAATGGTATTTCACAAGTTCAAACCGTTCCTTTTACAATGCAGTATAAGAGTGTTTTAGTGCAAGCATTTATATTTACAATTAATGGTTATTTGTCAACAGATGTCCCAGTGGATGAGGGTTACTGGGATAGTTGTTCAAGGGATTGCTTCTCACATGTCCAGGAGTTTGGTCACCAGTTTAGTAAAAATCCAGAAGAAAGCCCTTGTGGACCCCACACCTTATAGAGATATAATACAAGACATTCTTGTACCTTTACTGATGTTTGGCAGTGTTTTTCGGAAGCAGTATAAAGTTATACATGACACAACAGAGTTCATCCAAGACTGTGGACGGTTATACAGCACTAATTCACTCATAGAAAGGTAATGTGTAGTACTGTACTGCATTCATTGTTCTCTTAGTTTATTTTCCTAATCATGGACTGTCTCTTTTGTGGCCATGATAAAGTATTTAAGTACTGTATATTGAGATTACTGTACTGTATGAACAAAGAGAGTGGGAAGGTACTGTACAATAATCTAGACACATGTACTGCCAACATACTATCAACCACAACTTGCATCATATAAATTTCCTTACAGTCATCAAGGAAGTGTCACAACAGATACACTTTTTAGGTCAATGATGATTTTTGTACACCAGTTTATCAGTACACTCATTCCAAAGATCTTCACGGTGGGGTCCGATGAATTTCACAATGAACACTGTGACTCCTGTTGTCTCGGTAGGGTTGTCAAAATCCATCGTCCTTTGTCATATTGTTTCACACAAAATCGTAAAGATACTTTTTGGAACAAGTGAACATGACCACGTGTGTGTGTGTGTGTGTGCTTGTTTCCCACCATCATCACACCCGTTCGAGAAATAACCCTCAGGAAAGAATTATGTAGCAGCAGGAGGAAAGTAGTTGAGGAAATGAGGCAGAAAACACTTGGTAGGACAAAACACTGCCTCATGTTTCAAGATGTTTTTTCTGCCAGGCATATTGTACTGATGACTGCAGCTCAGGGATGTCAGGGGTCATAGCAGCATTAATTGAACCAAAGAACTGGGAGACTAATGTGTCTTCCCTTGCTCAGTATTAGGTGAAACTCCCTACACAGTATTCGGTTTGGATTTAAAGCAGTTATTATTTTTTTGAGTACTGTATGAACAAGATTTATTAGTTTATAAATTATCATATATATATTATGTATACAGTAAATAGATTTATATATATATATATATATATATATATATATATATATATATATATATATATATATATATATATATATATATATATATATATATATATATATATATATATATATATATATATATATCAGTGCAGTCACTTAGAATATTTTTGATGGTGTGTAGAGTTGTTCAAAACAACTTAGTGTACTGTAGCACTTTGGATTTTCACACACAACATATGTGTCAGTCTTATTCTCTGTTGTCTTCCCCGTGTTTCTGTTTCTCTATGATAAAACTCTTCAGCCCAGGAAAGGGTTAAAGAAATGCCTTCAAGTACACTGAAATTTGGGGAAAGTTTGTTATAATTAGGTAAACTTTAATTACAGTATCATATCTTGAAGTACTGTATTATGATGAATTCCCTTGACAGTGATCATGATGCTGACTCAAGAGCTCGTGCAATTGCCTTAAGATATCTGCTGACATTAGATAAAGAAAAGCCCAAGGACAGAAACTGGGCTCTGGTGGTTGCAGAAGGAATAAAAACCCAGTATACTTGTTGTACAGGAGAACGCAGGGATTTCGCCAATTCACAGAAGCACAGATACAAAACAAGACTCCTGCAAGCCTTTCTTTTGATACTTCCACTATTAGACAAGGTGAGAAGACGTAAGCAATACTGTATGTGTAGTTGCTAGGATTGATTGTTTTATCTATTACAGGTTGTACCTCTCTAGTCCGGCATTCTGTGGTCCAGAAACTCTCGTGGTTCGGCACGGTTTTAGTTTGTCCAATAGATAGATAGGCAGCTTTTTTTTTCTTTTCTTTTTCTTTTCTTTTTTATCTGCATTATTATTATTATTACAGGAGTATTAAATTTTTGCCCCTCAGGCTCCAATGTGGGTTAGTGACCTATGCCCGGGTGGGCTAATCCCCATAAAAAAACAACAATAACAAAGCTGCGGGAAATTAAGGTTTGTTTACATCCGGCAGTTCGGCTGCTCTCTCTCTCTCTGCTTGTCTATACAGAGTACAACATTTAACCCTTCAATATATATGAGCAGTAAATAAGTGTTGCTTTCATATTCTTATGTAGAGTAATGACGATATGTTTTCACATGTGCGCACTTACATACACGCAGTCTCACTTCCTTTCTTTACCATTATCGTTAGCTACTTCTATTGTTCCATTTATTACATTAAATAACATTACTTCAAACAAGCATATTAATTTTTTTACATTAATTTTACTACAGCTACAATCAGGGTCTTATTTTCTTCAGTTTTATATGTAGAACCAATCAGTCACTGGTTTTGTAAGCATTTACGAAAACAATGCCGGCAGCCGTCTCGTCTCCTCGTGCTACTATTCCATGTATTATTAATGAATTGTGTTGTTCATTTTGCACACACAAACATTAATTCAATAAAAACAATTCAGAAACATTAATTAAAATATATATGAACGGTAAATTAGTGTTGCTTTCATATTCTTATATAGAGTAATGACGATATGTTTTCACATTTGCGCACTTACATACACGATTTCTCTTTTTTTCTTTACCATTATCGTTAGCTACTTCTATTGTTCCATTTATTAACATTAAATAACATTACTTAAAACAACCATATTAATTTTACTACAGCTACAATCAGGGTCTTATTTTCTTCAGTTTTATATGTAGAACCAGTCAGTCACTGGTTTTGGAATCAATGAAAACAATGCTGTCTCATTTCCTTGTGTGTTTTAATATTCTACGTATTATTAATGAATGGTATTGCCCATTTTGCACATATAAACATTAATTCAATCAAAATGACATTCAGTAATAAACAATAATGAATCTTTTGTATATAAAAGAAATGACGCTGTTTACACGATTGTGCACGTCGTCTGAACGTTGGTGGGCCGTTCAAACACGTCAAAATTCGTGTTTCCGCCTTCAAAATTTTAAGTTGTTTTGTTTTTTGGTGTGTTCAAATAAAAAACGTTGAATTAAAAACTCGCGAAATTTGAGAAGCTACTGTACGACATTTAACCCTTCAATATGTCTTCAAAGAGACCATGAAGCAGAGAAAGTGGTGCTAGTATTTCCAAGCATAAGCACAAGTCACTATCTCTCCAGGAAAAGGGTGAATTTCCATGGTCCGGCACCGGTCAGGTCCCGAGGTTGCCGGACTAGAGAGGTACAACCTGTACCTAATATACTGAATGTTTACTGGGGGAGAGCAGGACTTTTAGTACCTTCCATCCCCCTCATAATGCAAACCAGGGGAGTTCCTTGCTCACTATCATCAAGAGTAGAGCTTCAAGACTAACTGCCCTGATTAATTTTTCAAAAGCTAAATGTCAGACCCTCCATTTTACACCTCAGTGACTCCTGTTGTCTCTGTAGGGTTATCAAAATCCTTAATCCGTTTATGACTTTGAGAATGATTCCCTCCCTCTGGCTGTAGGTACTGACGGCTCTTCTCTCCTGAAGGTCCCAGATAACACCATAAAACTGTATAGTAATTAAGAGTTAGGAAATTAATACAGTATCTCTTGGTCTTAATTGGTGACAGTGAAAGGCAAACTTCTTCCAGGTGTGTGTGTGTGCCAGTCTGATTCTTGGAGCTGTTGATGCACCTTCTCCTCTCTCTTCTCTACCTGTTTAGTGGATATAAGAGACATTTAGCTATGGTTAACTAAAGCATACAGTCAGACCTCACCATCTGGCAGAATGATCTTCCTCTTCTGCCAGATCTTTGAAATAATACAAAAGTTTCATTAAAGCATAAATGAGAAATTATATTAAATTTTACTTTTCTGGAGTTAATAGATTAAATAGATTGCCTCCTAGTGTCAATGTTCATACATACTTATACACAAGACACACAAATACACACTTAAATAACACTCCTAAAAACATATTATTCTTCACAGATAAACACACACACATTTTACATCCACAATGAGAACTATTAACAACTGAACCTGATATGATATGTTTTTTTATTCGTGACTCCTCTTTTGTATTGCCAGTAAATATGTTAATTCTTAAGAAGGACTGTGTATGTTTATTGATTCTTTGATCCTTGTGTTTACATTTCTATAAGTAATTTTTTTTTTCTATTTACCTGTACTTTTATTTATTTATTTAGAGTGAATGTTCCAAAGACCTGGCGTGGTTATGCAAAGGTCTGATCAAGGACCACCAACAGCCGAGTGTTCGCTACTTGCAGGAGTGGGGCGTGTCTCTCATCACCATACTCCACCCACAACTCTTTCCTGACCTCCTTTCTCACTTCCTCCAGGTAAGATGATTTTTCCAAGTAACTGAGAGTGACCTGAAGGAACACTCGCTCCAAAAAGTGTGAGACAGTACAACACAACGGACGGAGGACCCCCACCCCCCCACACCGAGACAACAGGAGTCACAGTGTTCATAGTGAAAATTATTGACCCCTTCATAGAGATACTCTTTGGATCATGTGTACAGTTGTAAAGGGATAAGGTACAGATACAGTGTCAAGTGAAGTGGACCACCTATATGAAGCACTGACTTTACTTCCATAGTTATCAGTATTTTAAGTCTTTAGGTGATCTAACTATAGTTTATACAGTGTGGACAGATTACTGGGGTTTTTTTTTTACACGTCATATGGATGACTTAATAGCTCGCCCAAAGTAATAAAATACAGTTGTTGTTGTAGTGTACTGTACCTGTAGTTGTAAATATTAATATCAGATAGAGATAGACAGTTTAGTGTCATCGTTAATGCTGCGTAAAGTAAGACGTTGATCGTTATTTATGTGTACGATAATTGTAAGAAACTAGGGTTGGAAGGAGCGGTACTTCTTAACTGTCAATAAATACATTATTGTGTGAGAAGAAGCCTCAACTCTTGTTACTAATTCCTTTACATTTGGTTTAAAAGATGTGTGTTTGATTTTCTTCATAATAAGTTTGTGTCTCATAATGTTGTTCTCTTAGTGGTCTGTGTCTCGCTACTCATAACCCCTTCACTATGGGACGTCACTTTTGATATTTTATTCAGGTAACGCCAGATGATTTTATTCAGCTCAGAGACGAACCCAAACACAAGGGGTTAATAATCGAACAATTCAAGTGTCATATATACTACAGTGAAACCTCCATTTAACGGACATCACTCCAACGGGTATAATCCTTTATGTGGGGGTTTCACATGTAACGAACCTCAATATAATGAACTTTACTCTCCCAAACAGCCCATTAAATAAAGGTGTTATCATAAACTGGGAATAATCACTTGGTTCCTCAGGGCACCAAGGAAAGAGTCGGATGTGTTGGGTCGTTCCTGGCGGCCCTGACCCACGTGGCCTGTACCTCAGAGGATGATGAGGTGCTGTGCCAGTCTCTGCAGTACACTCTACCGTGGTGCATGGCTCAACACTTCAACACCCGACTGTACGCTCAGGTTAGTTCCACCAGTTACTTACTATACAACTGAAGGAACCTGTAACAAGACACTGAGGTCAGGTTGTTGTATCTACAGAATCTTTACAATTTTATCCAATGTTGACAATTGTATGTTTTACAGCTCAAGAACCGAAATCCTTGCCAAATTATTTTCCTTTTGGGTTTAGATAATCTTAAAGAAAATATGCTTCAGGTATTTTCTTTTTTATTATTAGTTTATTATTTCACCATGTATCAACTTACTAGTCATTTGTGGCAATTGGTGACTTTATTACAACCTTCATTGTCCAGTGTTAGAACAGGAGGAAACCCGAGTACCCAGAGAAAACCTACCATGGTGTGTAGTCTCACGCTGGATAATACCCTTCTCACATCTGTCCCAGGCCAGGGATCGAACCCAGGACACAGTCTTGAGAGCTACACACATTACCACTGTACCACCACTTAATCACAAGACCACAAGGGACCGGAGGGAAGAGAATTTAACACCCATTGTACTTATACAGTGAAACCTCCATATAGCGTACTTCTCTTTCTAACGGACCCTCGGTATAAGGACCTTTCTTCTCCATGTACAGTACAGTAGTCCGTTAATAGAGGCTTCACTGATTAAGATCCAGACACAAGGCTATCAGTATATACCTGAGCTTTTAACCTGTAACTAGCAACTAAGGCTTCCCCTCCCCTCCTCCCTCTCCTCTCCCCCTCCCCGCACCTTTCCTCCACCCCATACATACTACAGAAATGATACACAAGGAATATAAGACTTTTACTTATGAAAGCTGTCGTCCACGCACCTAACTTCCACTGGTGATGGCCGCCGTTTAAGGGTTAAGGAACATGGCAAGATTCTCTACCCAAGTGCATCATTTCTTCTCCAGCTAGCCTCTACATTACCGGTAACATCACGTAGGGTATATAACAAGTTAGCACCACTACCAGCATTCCATCACCCATTTGAGTTCTGGTTGACATATTTGCCGAAATACATCCCAGGAGACTCAGACTAGCAAGTGTGCTGGTGGACTTAATTATAGTTCTCTACTTTATGGTAAAAACAGTCAAATTTCTTCACCAGATATTTGTTTGCTGTAAGTTTTGATGTGGTTTTTTTTGTTTTTTGTTTTTTTTGCACGTGTAGTTTGTCTTAGCGATGTTTGTTTTCTCTGCACCAGTGTAAGAGACGGGGGTGGTTAAGAGGGTGTAGTGAGTTGTTACTTTGCATTTTTGTAGAAGGTCATTTTGAAACATTCTTAGGGACATTTTTAGAACTATAAATTTGATAAAACATTGCAGTAGTCAGAGTCCCCTTGAGCCTCCACTAGACAGCTGCCCCACAACTCCACTAGACATCTGCCCCACAACTCCACTAGACAGCTGCCCCACAACTCCACCAGACAGCTGCCCCACAACTCCACTAGACAGCTGCCCCACAACTCCACTAGACAGCTGCCCCACAACTCCACTAGACAGCTGCCCCACAACTCCACCAGACTGCCCCACAACTCCACTAGACAGCTGCCCCACAACTCCACTACGTAGACAGCTGCCCCACAACTCCACAGACAGCTGCCCCACAACTCCACTAGACAGCTGCCCCACAACTCCACCAGACAGCTGCCCCACAACTCCACTAGACAGCTGCCCCACAACTCCACCAGACAGCTGCCCCACAACCAACACAGTTGCCCCACAACTCCACCAGACAGCTGCCCCACAACTCCACCAGACAGCTGCCCCACAACTCCACTAGACAGCTGCCCCACAACTCCACCTGCAAGGGGCTGTGCAACTGGAGTTCACTGAAATCTAAAGTGACATATGAGCCTGTACAGAAAGTCAGAGATCTTGTACAACTCTGAATTGACCCAAACGTTAAACATATCCAGATTACGTTGAGACTTAAATGATCTGCTCGACATTGATTTAAAGGATACATGTAATTCTCATACCAGATTATGAACATTTTGAATACATTTGAATATTATTTCACAGTATGTAACATTTAACACTTCTCTATACTTGATACATAAACATAGGAAGAAAATGTAAAAGCATAAGTAATTCATCATAGCCTAAAGACTTTATTTTGGTGTCCATCTGAGTTAAGTTCCTGTAGTTCACCCAGTCACCTAAATATACACTACTGTAATAATCCCAGATGGTGATGAGTGTGTATCACTCTTTAAACAACTACCATACTCCCCATAGAGGCTATCATCAGTGACAGGTTAGAGCATTATGTCTTAAGAAAATGTCAAAATAGTAATTACCGTACAGTGGATGTTGACAGGGAGGAGGAGAAGGTGTACTGAACTGAGCCAGCGTTATGGGAGGGGTGTGTGGTGAGGGTAGAGTGGATGTGTAGGAGGCATAGTGGGTAGTAGATGGTTGGAACAAGTGAAGAAAATGTACAGAGTAAACTTTATAGGCAAAATATACCTTAATATTGCAGAACACTTGAACAACAAACTCGATCTTTGGGAACATGTTACTTTGATCAATGTGAACATGTTACTTTGATCAATGTGAACATGTTACTTTGATCAATGTGAACATGTTACTTTGATCAATGTGAACATGTTACTTTGATCAATGTGAACATGTTACTTTGATTAATGTGAATATCTGTTACTTGATCAGTGTGAACATGTGGGTCTTAGAATTTTATCTGACGCCATCATCATCCTCCGCCTCCCTTGCTCTGTATTGGGTGTGTGGCAGCTGGGGTGTAGTGCCTTAGTAAATAGCAATACCCTCCTTCTTTCCTATGGTGTACTGGTAGGTTTCTAGGTCATATTTTGCCTTGATTGGGTTCCTTGTTCCACAGACGAGGAAGTGAGGATGGACGAGTGCGGTTCCGGAAACACAGCCACCATACGTAATGAATGTTTCAGTGTAGCATATCACCACTACCCCTATAACAGATTCCTGCCCACCTCCTCTTTCATTTCAAGACCTCTCTTGGCTTAACCTAACCTAACCTCTCATTTCCATTCAAGTGTAAATTATTTCTAGTACTGTATTGATTTTTTGTATTCTGATGTCATCAATACTGGTTACCTTTGCCTGATGCTTCACCTCTAACTTTTAATTTGTCTTCACACTAATTTGACCTGTTTTTAGGGTACATTTTGACACAGTGAATTGAGGTCTTGGCCCCTCTATGCTATAACAGGAGAGAGCTTGTCAGAGTATGTGAGTTAAAGAGATGGAAGATGATGCTTGTGTATTATTGCCAGGTATCACTGAGGAAAATGTGGCATCACTGTGAAGCTAAACAGGTGACGGCAGTTTTGAGGAGATACGAACCAGTGCAACAGTGCCTACAGTTTGTGGTAGAACACGGCAACTCTGCGAGAAATACTCTCAACATGCTCAATGATTTCTACTTCAAGGTGTTTCATCCCATTCAACATTACACTCTGGAGGTGAGCTGATGTTGGCTATTAAATTGTTCTTTATTTAGTTCCATGATTTTAAGTTTTGCAGGAAAAACGAATGTGGTAATTGATTTTAGAGATACAGTATTGTACAGGTAGATTTAAGAATATATTAGTTTATTATTCATAATCAACAAAGATGTTTTGAAATTATCACCTGATTTGGTATTATTTTAAGGTGTTCCTGACATAATTGTATTGGTACCAAATTTCAGAAGGATTGGTAAATTTAACTCGGTGAATATATTAACTTTTCATAATTCACTACAACGTACAGTCACCCACAAAGGTCCTGTCGCCTCTCCTGCTGCTCCACAAACCCCGGGATTCAGACTCATGAACCCGAAGCAGTAGACACTGATGCATTATTCTGTCCATAATTGCTTCAGATTCATTTGTTTTAATCTCGGGGTTCATGGAGCAGCAGGAGAGACGGCGGGACTTTTATGGGTGACTACATCCTGTACAAGTGTTTTGTTCTTTAAGCTGTATGGTACAGGTGATTTTTGTTTGTTTGTCCTACAGACAATTCTTCATGACTTGCCGTGTCTATCTTTGCTGGCGGATGATGAATGGTTGACGATAGATTTCTTCTTAGGAGTCATGGACACACAGGACCTTCCATTGTGTGGTGACCTGCCCCTTCACAACGCTGACCAAGTCCTGGCTGAGTCACTACCTGCGCCTTGGGTGATCAAAGCTGCAGGTAAGTGGGTACCATCAAGTCCAGGAGCTTAAAACCCAAGTAAACATTTTACATTGACAGCTGAAGCTAATCCATTATCTAGAACCAGTCAACTGTTGTACTGAGAGGTTGGGCCTTACTCCACCTGCATCTGTTGTAGCACTTCCTCCTCTCTTAGTTTACCTACTTAGGATTACAAGAGGAAGTTAAACCAGCAAAGGGGAAATTTATTTAGAAATGGAGGATTGATCCTGACATCCCAATTCTTTGTGATTGAGCCCATAGTCAGGCAGTTTGAACACCCCCCCCCCTTACCTCCCTTAGGTCTTGTGACCAGTCATATGAAAATGATGAACAAACTTGGTTTTATACAATCATAGAAATCTGAGTCAAGGCATCAGTTCTAAGCAACAACCAGCTTTCACCCCCAATCCCTTTCATATAGAAAGGTTGACTGTCACAAATGCCCTATTCATATTAGGCTGGCTGTGTAAAAACTGTAGGCTCAGAGAAAGGGCTGGAAGACCCCCAAGTAAGGTGCCCCATATAACAAGAGCCACGAGACTTTCAGCTCTCCCAGAAAATGGGATTTCAGAATCAATTCTTGAGTCTGATATTATACAAGTACTATACAGTATTTTATTAGTGACCTTATTAAAAATTACAGGAGACACTTCTCCAGTAGAAGACAAAGATGGCCCTAGTGAATCCACAAACAATGTGCAAAGGAAAATCACTCCCTGGAAGTCGATGGTCCCAGAGATTACTGCATCACTGGATTTACCTGAACAGGTAAATACATTCAAGTTTTTTCTATGAATATATTTATAAACTTATGTATTTAATAACTCCTTTCAGCAAGGCTTGAGTTATGCACACACTGAGGCTAGCAAGTGAGAGACCCTGGCAGTCCTTAAGTAGCGTTGATCTCTGTACCATAGAACATGTACCCATGTGTCAGCCCAGACATGACTGCCATCTTGCACTCAGACTCAGTCCTTACTTCCTGCAGATATGTCTGAGCTGTTTTATTAGTATTGTGGGTCATTAATTCTGGGATTTTGTTAAGTTGAGAACTTGATTTTGTAAGACATACCCAGATATCCTCATTGGTGTTAAGTTTTCTAGCTCAATGCTGCTTGCCATGGTGAGATGAACAAGGTCCTCTCCTTCTCTGTCTCAGAAAGATGTGGCATTAGAAGAAAAATTATTCGAATTTTGTTTGGAAAATGGGAGAGAACAATTTTGTGATGCAGTTTTTAAAAGATGAGTGTTTGGATAGATTCAGCACCAACATTACAAGCTGCTTGGGTTCCTGGTGGCAGTCCATCAATAATACAGCTCAGTAACCTCCTACTCTTGAGGATGAACTTTCCTTCCTGATTTCTTCTCTTAAGCAGTGTGGTTGTGAGAGGGAGGAAGGACATATCGTGAGATACTGTCTAGATAACTTCCTTTCACATTGTTTGTGTATCATAAAAAAAAAATCTATCCCTTCTAAATGGCATCAGTAATGTTCAGTCATCCAGTGGTCTACCTTGTGCTATAAACTGGGACACATAAGGGAATATAAGACAACCTGTTAAGATATTTGTACAGTTACACAGTAGTTGGCCTCATTTTGTCATCATATAGTCCAGATACTAGATGTTTAGGTATAAGTTATGCTGCTTCTCTTGGGAATATAGAGAAGGAAAGTTATAATTTACCCTTCTCTTCATTGAGGCCTTAAGAGTTTCCCAACTACAGTATACAATTATTTTTGGTCAGTGTTATTATATTATTTGCATAAGTAGGCTCTGTAGACACAATGAATTTATTATTATTAAGAGGAGTAGTAGTAGTAGTAGTAGTAGTAGCAGAAGTGGTAATAGTAAATACTGTATTATTTTAATAGTTTCTGGAGAAGTAAAATGTAAGAAATTAAAAAAATTGTCCACAGCCTGAAACACACCCGAGTCGAGGAGCTTTGATCGTAGTGGCTTCTCTCATTGATAAACCACCAAACCTCGGAGGGTTGTGTCGAACTTGTGAAGTGTTCAGCGTCAAGGAGTACATTGTGCCGTCCCTTAGTATCTTGGAGGACCCAACGTTTAACTCCCTGTCTCAAACGGCCCAACAGTGGGTGCCCATGAAGGAGGTAAGGTCACTACTGATTCTACAAGTACTGTACAGGTATCACTCGAGTTATGCAAGTTCTTAGTGTTTATATCCAAAAAGTATGGAATGAATTTTGAGATATTGAAGAAAAATTTTACATTAATGGGAAATTTTTAAAGTTTCTGAAGTTAAAATTGGGTAGAATATTTTACTGTTTCCAACTTCCAATATTTCACTCATCACAGAATAAAATGTATACCATATTGTAATAGTATGTATATGAAGACATTTATAATATGTATGAATTACAGTATTAAGTCTTGTAACCATCTTGAGTGGTAGAGGGTGGCAGATGCACAACCCACCATCACCTCAAATGTCACCTCTACAGTTTCTCATTAGTAGAAATTTTACAAGAGAATATTATTTATCTGTTTACTATTTAATTAGATTTCTTTTCTAATTAATATTGTACGATCTTAATATTTTTTTTAGCGTCATGTCGTCTTTCTTTTTATGGATGACTGAATACTATCAGGAATTGGCCTCTTGTCTTTCTTCAATGTCTCTATCAAAAGTCTAATTATACTACGTGGGTGGTGAGTGGTGGTGATGGTGGGTGGGTGGTGGTGATGGTGGGTGGGTGGTGGTGATGGTGGGTGGGTGGTGGTGGGTGGTGGTGATGGTGGGTGGTGAGTGGTGATGGTGGGTGGGTGGTGGTGATGGTGAGTGGTGATGGCGAGTGGTGAGTGGTGATAAACAACAGTTCAACTGCCTCCCAAAGCCTTAGGAAGATGGAAGAGTCTCAACAAAAAGTGTCTGCAGTTCTCTCTATTGCATGTTTATGTAACACAGCCAAATTTTAAAGGTTCATCATCAAGTCTTCCATGGAGATACGCTGAACTAATTTCTAATCCATTATGAACTGAGAAAGACGCCACCCAGGAGAGGCACTGGTGAACAAGATGATTACTCACTTTCTCTTCTAGCTTCAGACAAGGACAAACTTCAATAATATATTCCTAAATATTGTGATATTTCTTAGAACCATTCTGGGATATTTAATATGATGTAAGCAAAGAGAGAGTTGTCACAAAGTACACCAGTCACTGTACCAGGTATAAGTGCATAGGACTGTATGAACAATGTTATGTAAATGTAATCAATATTTAATCCTTGCTTTAGAGTAAATGTAGCCATAACTATTAATTATGTCTGTTTTCTGCTCTAAAGGTAAAGCCTGATTGTCTTGCGCATTACCTGAGAACTCTGCAAAATGAAGGTTACACATTAGTGGCTGCTGAGCAAACCGCGAATAGCATTAAACTGTCCGAGTACAGCTTCCCAGAGAGGACAGTTGTGATTCTAGGGTGAGTTGTACAGGTAGATCCTTCCTTAATGAACGTCATTTATCATTTTATACTGGGGGGGAGGGCCAGAGTCTAGAGAAGTACTGTACAGTGAACACTCATTAAGACAGGTTTTGGTACAACTTGATTCATACTGTATCAACATAAACTAATATAAAACTCTTTCCTTCTTTACTTGGCATTTCCATGGTGAGGGAATTCATATCTTCAGTGTACTACAGTATATATGTACCATCTTTTATTATTATTATCATTTCATCCACTTATCAGCTTACTAGCCGTTCGGGCGGTTGGTCTGTCCAATGTTAGTACAGGAGGAAACCGGATACTGGGAACCTGTGATGTTTGGTAGTGAGAGTCACACTGGATAACGTGTCCCTTGTCATAGAAAGTCATTAATACAGTATATCAATTAATCAAGATTTTCCGTAATGTTCAAGTTTGTGTTGTATCATTGAGGTGATGTTATACAAGACCTGTAATACTTTATACTGTGTTGTAAACCTTGCAGGTATGGATAGTCCTGATAGTTTCTGGCTCCTGACCTTATCTTTTTCTCTAACATTGTACACACTCCAAAAAAGTATCTTTATGGAGAAGGTCTGATGAATTTCAACATAAACACTATGGCTCCTGTTGTCTTGGTAGGGTTATCAAAAATCCTTCACCCATTGTCGTATTGTCTCACACAAAATCGTAAAGATACTTTTTGGAGCGAGTGTACAGTACTGGTATCTGAAGTTGTGTGTATTTACCCCGTTTAGAAATACAACCTTGTATAAAAATAAGGGTCTACTCTATGACATGTCATTTGTATCAACTTACAATAAATACATAAATGTGCAGGTTATTATATTTAATGTTTTTATGTACAGAGAACAACGCGTCATTCTGTTTTATATATCATTTCTTGTCTACCATTACTAACTTGGCCTGAAGGCTGACCATGAAAGGTTAGAAGTGATGTAAATTGAAAAAATATGTTTTTACGCTCCTCATGAGAAGTATACTGTGAATGGTAAATTTGTGAGGGTACTTTATACTGTGTGAACATATGCGCAAGGGTACTCTGACATGTAAACAAGGTCCTAAATGAACAAGCAATACTCCAATACACACACAAACATTCTTATAGTGTATACATCAACAGACACAGTTATTAGAGTTAGTAAGGCAATACTGTAGTTAACTTAAATGTGAAATGAAAAACACATAAGAGTTTGTGATGAGATATTTAACTTATCTATATGACACTTAGAGCTATACTTTACTTTACTTTTCTATTAACCATGTACAGCTGCCAACACTTACATCTGGTACAGTGGCTGGAGCATTTTATAAGATGTGGCAACACTGTGGAATGCTTATCAATATCCTTGATCTGGTTGCTATTGTGAGGTTCTTTGGGGGGCCATTCTGGGATTTTTGGTACAATGTAAACAAACACAGTTGCCACATCTCACAAAATTTGCCAGCCACTGTACCAGGTATAAGTGCATGCGACTGTATATTTCTGCATGCTAGACATCCATCTTCTCACTTCTAGTTCTTTTGTTTTCTAGGAATGAAAGAGAAGGGATCCCATGTGAACTGCTTCAGCTGCTTGATGTGTGTGTGGAAATCCCTCAGACTGGCATCATTCGGTCTCTCAACGTACATGTGTCCGGCGCTCTCTTCATCTGGGAATATACTCGGCAGCATCTCAAGAAGCTCGCCTAGTTCTTCCTCCTTTATCACAATTTATTGATAATTGAATTATATAAATTATATAAATTTACATTCACTTTTTTAAGACTGGACATTTATTCCCTTCTTATTCAATGATTGACACAGGTATTTGCCTCTTTAACCCTTCACTACGGGGACGCCACTTTTAATATTTTATTCGGCTCACAGGCGACCTCGTACACAAGGGTTAAAATGAACTACAAATATGAATGCTGTTACTTATCAAAATTTAAATTTTTATAGTTTTGAGTACCATGGTTATTGTACAGTAGTTGGAAAAATATAATAATAATAATAATTAATGGTTTGTTGAAAGAGCATGGCAGCCGGAAGACTGAAAATATACAGTTACATACTCTCTGGAGTCTGTTTTCTTCCATAGTTATACTAATATTTAACATTATATACTGTACTGTACAATGTAATGATTCAAGTTTTCTGCAGGCAGGTCTCTTATATAATTTAAGGTGTGGTCAGTTTACACCCCATCAGTACTTACTACTTATACAGGATGACAAACTTTCCACAATTAAATATACTGTAATCTTTTACCTTCAGGGAAGGTTATTGCTACGGCCACTGTGTGTACAAGTATCTTTTAGTATTATATAAAGTGGTAAGTTTGGCTTATACAGATGTATGTAGAAGAGACTCAGTGTTATGCTGTGATATTTGTAGCGATGATGACACAAAATATTTGTATTTCGTTACTTTGATAACATTCATTACAGACTGTATCTTGCATCCTAAATCACATATTGTACATACATAAGATGCTCTTCCAGTTATGAACATTCAACTTAGGTCAGAGATATGATTATGAACAAACCTGTACTGTACTGTACTGCCTACAGAATTATTAGAAGCTATTTATATATTATAATACTATTAAAGACTGGTAAGATATACTCAAGAGTAATGTGCTGTGTTTATTATTGGAGTATAGCTTTACTGTACATCCTTTATTTTTTTATTTTTTTACAGTATGTTCAGTATCTACAAGACTAAAGTTCGACTTATGAACAAGACTCAGGAAAGTAACTCATTAGCAAGTTGAGGAGGACCTGTATTAGGGAAAGTACACTGTACAGTATAGGTGAAAAGTATACTGTACTTGAACTAACTTTATTTTCCCATTAACAGTAAAGTACACATAATTGTTAACAAAATTAATCACTGTACAAGGTAGTACATCACACTACTATACAGTAATTACAGAAACTTGACCTCTTCGTCTGGCCTCTTATACAGTACAATGTTATTCTTACAACCAGGTCGTAAGTCGAAAAGGCGAAAATAATACATAGAAATTCTAAAATTGGTGTCTCTTTTTCTTCTCAGCACCACGAGAACTCTCACTTTTACGCTTGCCATCCATTTTAAAGGGAATTACAAACGAAATTTTTCTCAGTACATGGCGCGATCACTAACGTCGGGACTCGAAAATACATAATGTGAAAATTATTTTTACGACCATGTGCGTCGTATGTCCGGGTTGTTGTAAGTCGAGGAGAGACTGTATGTGTTTCTACAGTTAGAGAATATTTGTTTGGGATGGACGGGTGAGGAGTAATGCGACTCCACAAAATTCTTTACATTGTAGTCACGACCCAAAGCTAAATCAGTAGGCAGGCTCACAACCCACAGTGAATACAGTACAATAATTTTTAAAAAATCTCATTTTTGGAACAGTTATTTTGCACTCTATGTGATTTTGATTTATGCAATGTTTTAAATACCATGCACAGACACTCCATTTATACCTGTTTTTAGTTTATGCGAGCCAGATTTTGAAGAAACACGATCCAAAATACAACAAACTCAATCATAGGCAGGCAGCTTTGATGACGATAACGGTCTCATGACCCAACTGAACAGCTCAGCGACTCAAGTTTAGGTCACGACTTTTACTTTAAGATCCACTGCTGCAGAAGGTTTGGTCAGAACTTTGCATAATATTGTAACTACCAGGTTTTTCTTTTTGTTATATATTTTTTTACTTCTTTATAATTTTAGACTAATTTAAATGAATCAATAAAACGAAAGTAAAGATGAACTGAACATTAAAAACTCTGCCATTACTGAGAAAAGTCTAGCCATTTTTAGCCTGATATAAATACAGTACTGTGTGTTCATTAGTTTTAAATGACATTACTGTACTTCAATTAATAAGATTTAGTTTTACTTCCTAATCAAGTGGTATAAGGCTGATGCTACAGTTATTGTGCGAATGATAATACTTCCAGCACTTATTTCGACAGTAAATTCAAAGTTCAGTTAATAATAAAGTGACTCCCAAACCATAGAACTTTATATCTCTTCCTCACTATACACTTGTCTACTACTCTCTGTGATTCTGTTCCCTTGCACTGTGGTGTCATAAGTAACTTGGTGTTGCCGTGCCAGATGATAATTACTGCTGGTCACTCGGTTACTTTACATCCTCCCCTTCATTAACTGTACTGTAGTCTCACTTCTCCATAGACCTGTCACCTTTTCCCCATAGTACAGGTGAACCCCGATAGCCGACGTCCTGTTGACTGTCGATTCGCATAACCGAAGATTACATATATGGGAAATACTCCGTTAATTTAATTGATACCCCGGAAATCCAACGATCGGCAGAGTTGGCGTGATGAAAATTCTTTACACCAGAGGGCTGTGTGTACTGCCTCTCTCTCATTCCTGACATCTATATTCTTGTTTACACTTACTATGTGTCTCTGACTTTGTGTTTTTTCGTTATTTTTTACTTAATGTGTCACTCAATCATGCCTGAACACCCCAGCAATAGTTCTTCTTCTGGGCAACTTGATGTGATGTGATAAGGCATAATAAGAGTGGTGATGGACCAGCAAAGAGTGGTAGAGCCGTGAACTTGCCACCCTAGACTGTCTCAACCCATCCTCGACACAGGTTAATAACAATCTCAAATTATACTGTACTTTACATTGCTTATTTAAGGCTAATTGTGCTTGTTTTATGTCTGCTTTATTTTCTTGCTTGACAGTGTGCAGTACAGTATATCAAGGGTAGATGGGAATTTCTGAGGGGTGGCTGGACCCTAACCCCCTGAATTTGTTATGTTCTTATGGGATTAATTGTTTCAATAACCGTTGATTCACTAACCAACTGTTTGTCCCGGTCCCTCTATGCGTCAGTTATCGGGGTATACCTGTATTGTACACCTGTTCTCACTATACAATACACCTGACCCTTATTATACATTTGTCTCCACCTTTGTTATGTATCCATCTCCTCTTTACTAAGGACGCACTGGAACAACCGGCCACAACCACAACTTTCTTAATTAGTTAGTGATTCATGACTTAAATATAAAGGAACATAATTTATTGTTATGTATTTAATATTTCTAATAGTGTTTATATAATGTTACATAAAAAATGCATCGAATCGTTACAATTTAAAGTATATTGAAGAATGTATAGCAGGAAAATTATTATTATATTAAATTGTATTTTTTGTACATGATACTAGTGTAATTAATAAGTTGATTAGTGGCGTAGACAACCATATAAAAATGTTAACGTACAGTTGTGGACAAAAAGAACTCGGCAGGGAGGGAGTGTAAGCTATGTCTGCCTTGTAATTAAACCCCCCCCAAGATTTTTATTTGTGCTGTGGAAAGAGAATTATAGACCTTAACTGCCACCTTGATGTGACGTTGCTAAATCTCCACCTTCCTTGCACCAGCTCCTCCTTCCCTGAGAAATTCTTTTTGTCTACAACTGTACTTGTATGATACTGAAAATGGGAACAGGGAGAAAACACTGAAGCTGAGAGTGAGATATCTTCAAGAACTTTTATGGGAACAACTAAATACTTTGATATATTGCACTAACACTAATACTGTATGCCAATAAAGAGAAAATTATATTTTTTTATTTTTTTTTTAATAACCACACAGTTATTTGCCTGGATCTAGAATGGGGGCAGAGTGTAGTGGGGGAACAAGATTCGTTCTCTAGTTTGAGACAGAGAGCTCCACAGTTCTCCCCATGGACAGTATATTACCAACTTCAGAAGAAAAAAATTCCCAATAGACAGAAGAAATAAGGCAGGATAAATATTTTTGTGCAACCTTGGAAATATTTGGATTAATAAATTTTGTATCTCCAAAATTTCACAGAGTCTTGTTCTCTTTCAGTGGTAGGATCATTGACATATTTCATTTGTTAAGTCAGTGAGACTTGCTCCACTGTTCTCTCATGTCTTGTCCGGCTTTGATCCATTGTGTGTAGAAGCTTCTTGTATTTCTTCCTCCTTTGTATCATTGTAGCGCTGGAGGAAATCATGATGAATTTCCTAGACCAATAATATCATACTAGGAAATCCTGATTTAATTTATCTGTACAGACCATGAACAAAATGTAATTAGGTGCAACATATCAAGTTCCGGTTCCTGCCGGAACATTTTATACTTGATACAATACAGTATTCTGGTTCCAGTGCCTCCATTAACATCATATAGCACAAAAACATATGTAAAGGACAAATTTAAGATGGTGTAGTTCTGTAGTTACCAATGAGTGATCTAGTCTCTTTGTCTTTTGTGAGATGGGTAAGAACAGTAGGACAAAAGCTAAACACAGTACCTGTACTGTACAGTATTGCAATAGTGAATTATAGTGTACATGTATCCACTCAAGTTTTAGGTGAAATAATGTTGTGACAGTGAAGTATGGAGGAGCAGAGGTGTGGATGAAGAGAGAGTTGACCTGGCCTGAGCTTCCTTTACACAGGCAAGAAAGTCCTCTGAGAATACTGCAGTCATCCCATTGGTCCAGGTGAAAGGAGCTAACACCACCTTAATATGATCATAACTGTAAATGGTCGCTAGGTAAAGAGGGTTAATCTGAGTAGAGGGTAGTGACAGGTGGCTATGAGATTATAACCATAAATAATATTATTGCCAGGAAACTTATCAACAGTAATAGGTGTGGGACAAAAATCTGCCACAAGGAGTTCATGTATATCAAGTGTGCCTAGATCTAGTGTTTACTGTCGGGGAAGTGTGGTGACAAACCTTATTTCTTTATTTTATGCTTAAGGTACTTTACAAGATGTGCTGTTTTGTACTATATACAGTACAGTAACTATAAGGCCATAATTTATTAGGTTATCAGTCTATGGAAGTCATGTACAGTAGTCAATTAACAGATGTATTTTGTTATCATTGTGTTCAGAAGCGTATTACACAATTCTGGGGAGTGAAAAGGGAAAGTGGGATTTTATAGAGGTGACAGCCTGTTGAAGACTCTGTAGGGAACATCCTGTCTGACAAATCTATTACCATTCTTCTCAAATGTTTTCGAATTTGAACACCAAAATTATCATAGATCATGTTAATAATTATATACAGAACTAAACTATTTCAGAAATAGTGCTAACCAGAATATTTCTCTTGAAGCCTTTAATGGGAAATGACCAAGACAGCCGTTTTATGAACTGGAACCACTTCTCTCTCTTGATTAGACTTAATAAATTACGTTTAAAATGTCATCAGAATTACAAGTAAAGCTATGTTAAGTTAATTAATGAAGCATAATTAAATATATGAATATGGATAAATATGGTTTAAGAGAAAGTATACACAGGATATGAACAATATATGTATATTGTTAATTGTTTTATGCTATATATTTTTCACTGTTTTCTTTGTGATTCATTAATGATAACCGTTTTCTATGATGTACAGATTATATAAGCTTATGACATTGGTGTTCATGGATGGCTCAACTGGAGGCCAACACCAGATGAGTCTTAAGGGGAGTTTAATATCGTTCCTCTGGTTCACCATGAATAAAGGAAGAAATATATTGTTCTTAGTATAAATATAGACAATGTACTGAAGGTAATCCACTGTAGGAGATATATAATTACCTGGTATTACATTATTTCCTTCATGTAATAATTTTAAGATTTTTTTTTTGGGGTGGGGGAGGGAGATGAGTTTGTAATGTAGTTGATAATAATTATATGAATAAATTAGTTTAACTTTTACGTTCATTAATTACTAAATGATGAAATACATACTTATACAGGAGGATACTTCTAGAAACTACCATGACGTCTTTACATAACAGATACATTAACAAATATAATTTTTTCACAACAATAATTAAAAATATAACAATAGACATTATATTAATCAAAAATAGTATAAAATATTACCTTATTGAGAATAGTTTATGTATGTCTCCCAGTAAACAGTATCGAGCTGTGACCTCCATTGAGAAGACCACGTTGTTACACCTCTCATATTAACCACCTATAACCACCTATTAACTACCTATTAACCACCATGTCTAACAAAATTGAGGAGGTAAGTCTATAATATAAGTAAATTATTAGGAATTTTAATGGAGTATTGTTAGTGTAAGAGGAAAGGTAATTAATCTATGACTCGATTTAAGTTTATGTATAACGTCTATGATAATTTGCTATATGGGAATTACTATACTTGAGAATTGGTGATTTTTGTTATTTATTCAAGTTTATGGTTAATGTAATTGATGGATTTATAAGTGTGGTAATATGGGTGGGTTAGGTTAGGTCCTGAGGTAGACACCGTTAATATTGGTCCATTGGCTGTCCTTAGGTTTGGAGACAAGAACAGGTGTTTTATTGGTGTTTTATTGGTGTTTTATTGGTGTATTATTGGTGTTTTATTGGTGTGTATTATTGGTGTATTAGTAGCGGTCCGACTAATTACCCAAATGTAGCCGCAATGAAGTCAAATAATGGTCCTACGTGAATAAATCGGACTGCCAATCACTTCTCGACTGGTATTTGGTGTCACGAAGTCACAAAAAATTGGAAAACTTAATTTAATCTGAGTTAATAGATCGAGTGCATGTACCGATAAAACGCTGACCGCCCTCTAACTAGGGGAGACAACTGTTGTCGTTTCTCAGCAAATATTTTTTCTATTCAAGTTGTCTAACTTGAAGTCAATAAGCTAAAAAAATTGGCTTCAAAAAAGCAGGCTTGAATATTTGTTGTGACTTTTCTACAGCGACTTATGGTGAATTTTATACTAATAACCTAAGGTGGGTATTAAGCGGCATGTTTCATATAATTATTTAAATCATTATTGAAATGTGTTCACTGTAGGTTATGTATATAAGCTACTGTGCCGAGTAGCATTTATATACAGTGGGGTATGCTATAACGAACGGATCCTACTACGAATATTCCTATAACTAACGGTTTTACCTATAAAATTGAGAATGCTATAACGAACGCAACTCCTACAACGAACGCGGATGAATACGGGACTATTTCGCCTGGTGCATGAATATTGTTGTACCGCGACCCACAACAAGAGCGTCAGGCGCCATCTTTGTCTCATTGTGCACCACAGTTATTGTTGAAATTTCGTCTTTTGATGTGGAAATTCGCGTTATTTGTATAACTATTTTGTTATACAAGTATACAATTGTAACAATGAGTCGTCCAAAGCGAGTGAGAAAGCTAATAACCCTTGAAACTAAGAAAGAAATTATAAAGAAACGCGAGAATGGAAGAAGCATTGCGAAACTTAGTGATGTATGGGATGGCTAAATCGACTATATGTACGATTTTGAAGAATAAAGAGGAGTTAAAAACTGTGCAAGTGGCTAAGGGAATCTTTAGACTTAGCAAAGCAAGGTGTAATGTGATTGAAGAGATGGAAAATTTACTCTTAGTTTGGATAAAGGAGAAAGAAATGGCAGGTGGTAACATTAGTGAAGCTATAATTTGTGAGAAGGCTAAACAATTGTTTGAGGACCTTAAAGCCAAGACTCCCAGTGGAAGTGATAGTGATGTGCCAGTGTTTAGGGGTACCTGCATGCTGAATAACACTAAGGTAAGATAAAGTACCGTATTTTTTACATTTTCCACAGAATTTTTTCAGTGTTAAGCGGTTGTATTTGGGGCCTTGGAACGGATTAATCCTATAACGAACGAATGCTATAACGAACAAGGTTCTGGAACCAATTACGTTCGTTATAGCATACCCCACTGTATCTATTTTTGTTCTGGCCATGTTTACCCGAGACTGTACTCCATATTTGTGTTCTTCCCTCTTCCATCTCATAGGTTAGGCTGGCTCCTTTGGTTTGAGAATAGTTTTTTTTTGTGTGTGTGTGTGTGTTTTACTTAAATGTGACTGATAGTTTTACGCAAATTAGCGGTTTCTCTTAAAAAGGAAAATGTTCATTTTTTTTGCAAAAACAGATAATTTGCATGAGAAAGTAAGGTCAAGTTTGAGTAAAACGCCCTCCAAAAAACCTATTCTTGTACCAAAACCTGAAGACAGCCAATGGACAAATATTTACCAAAAGAAGGCCTTCATAGTAACTATCATTATATAGTCTGCCACACATGTGCATTAGATTGCCTTATCAATAGATAACGACATGTCACGTACAGTTGCTATATCTATATTCTGTGACATTTCATCAAAGATGTAACAAGGGGGTGTTTAAGAGGTAGAAGTAGCGTGGCCGGTTAGTTTTTTACACTTATCTTATCTCAAGTCAATACAAGGGTACACATATATTACGTATCACGTAGTACGTTCTTAAGGGACAACTTGTTAAACACCATTTCGATACAACTATTTATTAATTCACTCAGTGACACGGACACATTAATATCAATATTATATCGGCGTTACTAGCACATTATGTTTACGTTACTCGACACTGACTCGGACACAAACATGAAAGGAATACACTTCCCACAGTAGGTAACTCACCCTAGGGATAGTTCTGACAAGACTCACATTTGACCTGACGGAGGCCCAGTGGGTGCTGGCTGGGCTGTCTCATATGCGAGACTCTGCTTAGCTGGTGACGCCGGGGTCTCCCTCCTGACCTGGGGAGGGGACGAGCGTGACTCTAAGTGAACAGACTGACGACCCGAACGGGAAAGAGAAGACAGTAACCAGACTGACAGAATGACAAAGATCTGCCGAATGAGGCCGTGGACGGGACTGCAGGGCCTTTATATGGGGGAGGAACGGCCGGTGTTTGACCTTCCCAATTAACACTAAACTGGATAGATCTGGACAGCTGTTTCCAGGTGTGGTCATGCCCAGGTGTGTCTTGGTTAGGTGTGGTTGTAGGTCAAGTCACCCACTAATTCAAGTAATTAGCGGACGAGGTCAGGTCCCTTGGGTCCTAGGGTGTGTCACCCTGGTATGTAGGGGTACCACGAGGTCTGTACCCACTCACTGTTATATGTGTTTGTAACTCTCTGGGCTGTAAGCTATGGTCTGATAATCATTCATTACAAAGATGACAAGTATTTTTACCAGCTTCTATGTCTCAAACACCGGTGTAGCCTTAGCCCCTTGTGTACAGGGTCTCCTCTGAGCTGAATAAAGTTGTCTGATGTTTATGAAATAGAACATTGAAAGTGGCATCCAGTAGTGGAGGGGTTAATAAGGTCTGAGTCTTGATTGAAGGCATTTTGGTTTATTTTTTTTAGTCATTTAATTATTTTAGTGTTTACATTAAGGTTATTTCCCACCTAATTCACCAACTGTATTTTTGTCTTCAGATGCTGAAGGATGTTGAAGAGCTGCGCACACTTGTGGCTTCTGCCACTCGCAAGCGTATTCAGGATCTTCTTTCACAGGAGCTGCGAAAAATGGAGATTGAGGTGAGGATCTGTGCCTTTGTTCCTCTGTCTTGTATCTGTAGTTAGTGTGTACAGAACACAAGAGAAATAATAAGCATGGTATGGGTCAATCCTCTAGCCCAGTGGTTCTCAACCTGGGAGCCACGGCAAGAATTTAGGGGAGCCATGGCGAGCTGTTATAAATTGTACGTTTCCAAATAATGTTGGGAATATGAATTAAACAAAACTTCTATTACTTATTTTGACTTGACAGAAGAGACATTCATTCTATTTTTGTCATTGTTTAATCATAACGACAATACAATTTTAATATTTACATACAGTACTCTGGTGCTAATTTTTTTTTTTTTATGGATTATTTAAGATTTCATAGGTCCAGTCCCTGTCTGTGTGACAGGCGCTGGACCGAGCTGCTGAACTAACTTGTTCAGTACTTGTCTGTGTGTCATCCCTTTGCAAGTGGTGATAGGACCGAATGATCTCAGTCTGGCCTGGGATACCATCACGAAAACAGTGGAGTGTATTGTCTCTGGACCATATATTGTGTTTGAGCTTGACTCAAGCATAATATACTCCGTAATTGGTGTTACTTATTTTGTTTCATAATTCATGTGGTCGCTGCTTTACGTGGGTGAAATATTTGTACACTTCCTTTATTAATTATTTCCTTATTTATTGGTGCCATTGTTGTTCATACTCATTCTTTACTTATATAATCCTACCATTTTTAGTGCAAAATTGATATGATTCATTATTCTTCTCATTCTTCCAAGTTGGGCAGTGCTTGTCAAAGGAGGCGTGTTCTTGCTTACAGGAAGTACACTTCAGCTTGCTAGCTTGAGTGTGAATGTTTACCTGTGTGCATGTTTGTGTATGACTGTATGTGTGCTTTATGTGTGAGTGCATGGGCGTGTTATGTATGTGAATGTGTGTGTTTGCCATTCTAACTCTTGTCCTATATATCTGTCCTTCTTTATCATTCTTTAGTCTTTATCACTTGTCTGTTTGTCTGTACTGGGAGAAAATTGAAGGAGGCCACGAGGATGTTGAAAATTCCTCAAGGGGGGAATGGAGTGAAAAGGGTTGAGAACCACTGGTCTAGCCATTCATAGCCTTTACCTTATCTGGAGCATAAATAAGTGGAATATTAGCTATAGAGACAGGAGCCATCATCTGTTGGAGGTTTCATTTTCACACATATGGTGGTGGGGGGGGACCTTAGCTGCTGGTTACTGTAATGATTTATGATTTGCTTTGTTTACTACTTATAACCAAATTGGGGAAATAAGGAAGGATGATATGGAATGTTTCAGTCATTGTTGAGGTCAAGGATGTACAGTTGTAAATAAGTCCTGTTGCCTCTTCTTCTGCTCCACCAACTTCTAAATTCAAACTCGTGAACCCAAAGCGGTAGACGTTGACGTATTATTCTGTACATTAAAGCTTTGGGTTCGTAAAAAGAGGTGACGATGTTTGTTGGCAACTGTACGTAGTGTATTTTGTAAACAAGTTGTAAATATAAAGAAGTGTACAATAGTTGGGATGTTCGATTGTTCCTATTTATTCAAGCTTCTCCGGTCACACCCCTCACTCTTTCCACCATTCTCTCCTTAGTACATTATTTCATATATATTTTGTGGTCTTGTTTCCCTTAATCCATCCTGAACTTGTGGGAGTGGAATAATGATCGATAAAATGAGTATTATATTGCTTCTTCTCTTAGATCCTCATGTTTTCTCTGGAGTCTTTCCATGTTTGTCTTGCATCTCATTTCAGCGTCAGTCTGTGTAGATACGGGGTCATGTTCTTTTGATGTTTATTAGGATCACCTGAAGAATCTCCACCCCAGGGTATTCCACCTAAAGATTAACTAACCACCCTATTACTATTTGGAGGGGATGAGGTTAGGTTAGTGTGAGGGGGTTTAATCCTAAGATGAAGTAAGCTGGGGTTTTGATTCTTCAGGTGATCTGTTTATTATTTGTTTATTTATTTACTGTCCCATTTTTTTTATTTCCAGGTAGCACATCTTCAGGAAGAGTCGCTCCTAAAGCCAAGTGAACAAAAAGCCAAACCTGCAACGGCTAGTACTTACACAGTCATCCTCAGGAATTACTGTGAGTAGCTACCAGTGAGGGTCTCCCTGAAAATCACTAAGATCGTGACTTTCATTTGTCAATAATTTTCTTACAATAATCAGCTTCTATAATATAAACTGCCCTCTATTATTACTAAGGTCAATTTTCTGAAATGAATAAACTGTATGAACAATGACACTGTTGAGGGCAACTTCTTCATCACCCTCTATGATTGTACAGTAGATCCACTGTTAGAGCTGAACACCTTCCAACTCCTCAAACAGTAACAGTCTTTATAGAATGTTTTTTTTTTTTAGTTTAGACATTAACTCCAATGTAAAATGACCAGTAAGCTGTACTGTACATTGCTTTACTGTACTGTAATAAAGTAGAGTATTTATTAAAACTATCTGCAGACAAAATCAGGTACTGTACATTACAGTACTGTAGTAATCAAATAGTGAAGGTTTTGGAGGAGTAGTACTCTGTATGGTGAAAGCAGTACACTACTGTACAACATTTTACAAATACATTACTGTATATTATGCTGTACATTGCAGTCTATTTTTCTTTATGATAACTGAATTAAACATCAGTACTGTACAATGCTAAAAATAATGTGCTGTAACTAATGATTTAACTAAACATAATCAACTTACATACTGTACTGTTAAACACTTTAGACTTGTTGAGGTGCTTCTATCACGGGTACTGTACTGTACTTCCTGTCCATCATATGAACTCTCGCTCGTGTCCATTGGTCTTCACTCCTCTCCCTCACTAATCTCGTCTCATCTGTGTGCTCCATCTGAGACACCACTGTACAATCATGCCAGTGGTCCCCCAAAAATATATTTGTAAATATTTCAGTTCATAATTTTGCCTTCTAATCTTATCTTCCCTTTTTAATTTCTCTTTCATGAACACAGCAAAGTGAGGTAAAATGGATGTGACACAGAGGTTGTCTTGGGGGGGGGGTCCAGGCCTCCTATGCCCACAACACTTATCAAATCCTTTTCATTTTCATAACAAGTTTTGCCAGGATTCTCTAGTGTTACTTTGACTTTGTTTGCTGTTAACTGATGGCAATAAACAATATGTAAAAACAAAATAGATATATATATACTGCATGAGGTTTTCTTGCAGTTGTTTGGTTTGTCTGTATTAGCCATGGCAGTTAGGTGCACATCCTTCAGTGTTCTTATGTGGCACAAATATCCTTCATCGTCATATCCTCTTCTGCCTTTACTTGCTTTAATTTTGCCTCTTTCATTTCTTTTTATGCCCTTTCTTCCCATTTAAGTTTTCTCAGTTCTGCTCCCTTTATCCCCCTTATTTACCTCCTCCTCCTTTGCCTCCATCAGCTGCTGCTACTTCCCGTGGTGCTAGTGGAGGTCTGATGTTTCCTTGTAGGTGTCCAGTGCCTCTTCCTCTCACTGACAACTTTCTTGGCTCTGAAATATAGTCAAGTCATTTAGTAACGTGGACTAAAACCAAGGCACAGAAGAATAATGTAACGGTATAAGTGTAGTTTACTATTGCCGCATTTTCTCGCTTTTCAATACACATCTGTTTGGTTCCAACGTGTTAATATAATTGATTAAACCAGAGGAGCACTTTTAAAACTGAAACAATTCTGATATTTTGTTGATATTCTCTAAATCTGGTGAGGTTGGTTAGGGTCCAGTGGGAAAATGGAAGGTGGGAAGGTTAGAATGGTACAGAACTTAACGTTAGGTAGTATGCTATGTTACTGTAGGTCAGATACACACAAACCTTTCCTCCAAGAATGTAAAATCTCCAGTAATTATATAAAAAGTTTGGTGATTTAATGAAAAGTGACTGAAATAGATGTTGCACCACACAACTATCAAATTAGCTTTGGCATGGGAACATAATTAGCACAAGAATCTTCCCTGTACTGTACTTTATTTAATTTCAGCCTTGATTATAAATTCTATACATGCAGCTAATTTAATCTCATTCTTTACCTCTACATTTCTTCAACTAATGATAAGCTTTTGTACATAAGTCAGGGAAGTTATCACATTACAGGCTGGGTTGTTTGGGAATCTCCTATACTGTTCTTACCTGACATCAGAAGTGGATCAATATTTGAATTATTTGTGATGTTGCCGGAAAGGAACATAATGATATCTGATAGTAATATTTATGTTGCCTTCATACCAACCTCATCTTTTTATTATATACAATATGGTAATCTAAAGTGTACCCTTACAGCTTGGGATGAGTCGGACAAATTCATGAAAATATACATCTCCTTGAAGAACGTCCAGGGCTTGGAGAAGGATGCAATCACAACCACATTTTCAAAAAGGTGAAGCTCTTATAATTTAGCGCTACATTTTACCGTGAAGTTTCTTGTGCTGTGAGAATATTTTTTCCTTGTTTCCTTTTGTTTCAGCTTATTTTAAATGTTTGAACTACAATATAAGTACATTTGAACTTTCTTGCAGTGGTTTATGTTCTAAATATATTAATTTATGACTGGTAGTGTGAGAATAAACTTTAAATTATAAGTGGCTGACAGTGGTTATTAGTCATGATGGTGTTTCATTAGCTGTTCATACTTACAGAGGTGTACAGGTGATGGTCAAGGAGCTGGATGGCAAGAATTATGACCTCAATATAACCAATCTTGCTAAGAACATTAACCCAGATGCCAGCTATCATAAGGTTAAAACAGGTTAGTAACTCACTTTAATTAAGGTGTGTGTGTGTGTGTGTATGTCAAGGTTTATCTCATCCAAATGAGTGAATTTCTTTTCCATTATCTTTTAAAGTAGAAAATTCATTGTTACTGTGTTATTGTTCTCTCTCAAAACATGGCTTAGAGGTACTGTAGTCCCTCACCAACCACAGTTTTGACTACCTGCATTTTATATTTTGTGCACCATTTTACATTTGTCTCCCTTTTATATCTATTACCTTAATGTCACCAGCGTTTATAGGGATGGTCGTCTTGCCGCGCCTCGTCACCTCCCTAAAAACCAGTTGCCAGTGACCAATTTGGGGGTAAATTATGGTTCATGTGTAGATACTGTAGTTGTCCAGCTTGGGTTCTGACACTAATACTGTACAACGTGCTGCATTTAAGTTGTTGCAAGTGGTCATATAAATTACACTCATTAATTTTAGATTTCATATATGATTATTTAAATATTTAACCCATTGACTGGTCTCACTATATACAGAGAGAGAGTTGTAGTGCTGTGTATGGAAAGAATGTTCTGTACTCAAAATGTTAGGTGCTGAGAGACGTGGTGCACAGGGGATGGGTGCTGAGAGATGTGGTTGCACAGGGGATGGGTGCTGGGAGACGTGGTGCACAGGGGATGGGTGCTGGGTGACGTGGTGCACAGGGGATGGGTGCTGGGAGACGTGGTGCACAGGGGATGGGTGCTGGGTGACGTGGTGCACAGGGGATGGGTGCTGGGAGACGTGGTGCACAGGGGATGGGTGCTGGGTGACACAGGGGATGGGTGCTGGGGACGTGGTGCACAGGATGGGTGCTGGTGGGCTGGGGATGGGTGCTGGAGACGTGGTGCACAGGGGATGGGTGCTGAGGGTGCGTGGTGCACAGGGGATGGGTGCTGGGCGTGGTGCATGGGTGCTGAGGCGTGGTGCACAGGGGATGGGTGCTGGGGGCGTGGTGCTGGGGATGGGTGCTGGGAGACGTGGTGCACAGGGATGGAGTGCTGGTGCTGGTGCAGATGATGGGTGCTGTGTGGTGCACAGGGGATGGGTGCTGGGAGGCGTGGTGCTGGGGATGGGTGCTGAGAGGCACAGGGGATGGGTGCTGAGAGACGTGGTGCACAGGGGATGGGTGCTGGTGAGGGATGGGTGCTGAGGCGTGGGGGATGGGTGCTGGACGTGGTGCACAGGGGATGGGTGCTGGGGACGTGGTGCACAGGGGATGGGTGCTGGAGACGTGGTGCACTGCTGGGAGAGACGTGGTGCACAGGGGATGGGTGCTGGGAGACGTGGTGCACAGGGGATGGTGCTGGGAGGTGCTGGGAATGGTGCTGGGGATGGGTGCTGGGGTGGTGCACAGGGGTGCTGGGATGGGCACAGGGATGGGTGCTGGGAGACAGTGGTGCACAGGGGGATGGGTGCTGGGAGACGTGGTGCACAGGGGATGGGTGCTGGGAGACGTGGTGCACAGGGGATGGGTGCTGAGAGACGTGGTGCACAGGGGATGGGTGCTGGGTGACAGTAGGGCCAGATAGATCTTATGACTTACCTTGAAGTAAATGTAGGTCTAAGTTGTGTTCTTGAGACGGTTTTTAAAGTACTGTATCCACCATCCTTAAAAAGACAGTTTATTTTAGCCAGAAAAATACAGTTACAAAGTGAACAGTAACAATAATATTTTGACATGGCTGAGTGTAGTGAGAGCCTTAACACACCTGATATATACTGTACAATTATCTCAAGGAATTATTATTTAATATCTACAGGTGTCCATAAATTATTACCCTGATTAAAACATGAGAGCATACTGTTTTAGTGGTTTAATTAAAGTCACAGGAAAAAAAGTCACAATTTTGGCTAGGAAAAAAAGTCACAATTAATTTATGGTGGCCGGTAATAAAGGTTAGGTTAGGTTACCATCAGTTCTGCATATTCCTTTACTGAAACTGATTGACATATTAACCTTAAAAAATGTGAGAATTCGATAGTTAACTTTTCTTTTTTTCCTGTGACTTTTTTTCCTGTGACTTTTTTTACCTGTGACTTTTTTACCTGGATTCGTTTTAGGGTAATTTATGGACACTGTAGTATCATCTGGATTGAAACATGTCACTTGGTGTTAGTAAGAACATTTAACAATGTATATCATGATGGTAAAATTTATAATCATTGCAATGGTAATTTCTATCAATGTGACAAATATGTTATAATGGTTTCCAATGGTCATTTAAGGAATACAGATATCCCTGTATGCACAAACCAATGAGCATTTATTAATACATATTCTAGTCTTATGAAATACACGCAGAGAAACGAATAATGGAGATTTTTATTTATTTTTATAGTGGTCCCTCGGTTAACGAGATTTCGGTTAACGATTTACCTTCCATAAGATTCTTAACTTCGGTTAACGAGCAATCCCTCGATTAACGAGTTTTTTACGAGCCGACTCCAACGTGTTTTCGCTTCCATTTGGCGGTCCACCAGCTGTAGTATTAGTCCGCCAATACAGTAATCGGTTTTAGGGCTTAAATTCCTTACTATTTTAGTAAATATCAAGAAGTTTATACTATTCAATAATTTTAAAAGTTTAATATTAACTTTTTAGTCATTTTAACAATTATTGAACATAATTGAAGGTAAAGAAACTAGTTTCTGGCGTGCCATCCAGCCTGTTAACACACCAGACAGGCGTTAGTCTCTCTCTGTTTTCAGTGGAGGTAACATCTTGCTTGAGACTCAATTCAACTAAATGCTTTTTTTCTGTGTTTCCAAGCAAATTATTTGTCATTTTGAAATATATTTTACATATTGACAATATATAATGCAGTGCAGTGTTGATTTAAAGAAAATAATCTTGAATTACACCAAGAGAGCTAAAATTTTATGGGTGAAATGGCGCCATGGGGTGACTTCTCTTCCTCCTTCTCCTCCACCCCCAATCTAATTCCCATCATCATCATTCAGGAGCCTTCTACATACACACCTCAAAGTACTTTTCTACCTTTTTTGTTGAATTTAGGCAATTTTCGGTGAGCTGGAACCATTTACCCAAAAACCCATTGAAACAGTGGTTTCGGTTAACGAGCAACCTGCTGGAACGGATTGTGCTCGTTAACCGAGGGACCACTGTATATATTTTTTTATTACCTTGGTCTGGCAGCAGTGGTGTCCTCAATGTTGTGTTTATGGGTAACGTGACGCGGTGATGCATGGCAGGGAGGAGGGGGGGGGGTGAACAACTGGCCTCCATCATGGCAAAAGTGGTTGTGACTGTTGTGTGTGTGTGTGTGAGGAGGCCAACTACCATGTGAGGTTCATTAATTTCCTCCCTAAGTTGACATGGAAATTTGATTGGCGACTTTGAATTCACCACACTTAGGTTGTATCTCACAGTTCAGGGGTTAGAGAAACTAGAATTCCTTCCACTATTGAATTAACAACAATTCCTGCTACCCCTAAAGAAACAACAATTCCTACCACCCCACAGAAACAACAACAATTCCTACTTTTCTCAACACAGCAGTTGTTCAAGCTTTACAGTGTACTCTACATCTGACTCTGTACTCTTCAGATATGTTGGTGGTACTATTATCCAAGAGCGAGCAGGGGAAGTGGACGGGGGTGACCGCAGAGGACGTGCGTGCTAGCGAGGCCCGTAAGCCCAAGATGAGCTCCGACGACCCCAACGCCGGGATGATGGATCTCATGAAGCAGATGTACGACGACGGTGACGACAAGATGAAGCAGGTAAGTCTTTAGTGAAGGTTCCTTAATGAAGCTGTGGGGGGCAGGGGGGAGGGGCATAGTAATGTTATCAGTTTGAGTTGATACACTACAGTAATTTGTGTGTAAATTTTACCTTTTTGAAACAGTCTGAAGAAAACTATAGGGATCACTTTTTGTAATAGTAGTAGTCCTTTAATAGTAGTGGGAGTAGGAATCCTGTAGTAGTATGGTACCAGTAGTGCGTCTCTCTCAAGGAGGCCAATGACACACAAATTGAGTTAGTGATGTTGACCCGTCTCTGTGCGTCCATCATCAGAGTCTTCAAACAACACTCCCAGAAACACACGGCAGATTCACTACACTCCATAAGTGATGTCGTTTGTATAGAGGTCCTCAAGATTGTTCACATAGTGCTGGTTCAATGTCAGGTTTGGCTCTGCTGTTAGGAAAAAATAAAGAAAAGAAAATTCATCCTATAGTGTGTTGTTTTCTGGGTAAAAATTAATACCTACTTAAAATTTCAGGTAAGTCCAGTATGTACTCTGTCTATTAGTAAGTCTGCCACAAGTTAAAGGTCTTGACCCTAGGAAGGTTATAAGTCAAAATCCTGTTGAAAATGAAACTCCTTATCAACACAACTTTAGGTGAAATGCAGACCAACAAAGGTCTGTTAGAGGTCAAGGGTCACAGCTGAAGATCAAATTTCATTTTTTTTTTTTCCAGGGTATAACTTGTATTAGCACAAATATTTTAACCAAACTTACATTTGGTTGTGCCATCGCCAGGCAGTTGCAGATTATCAAATCCAATTCTATATATCAGAGATCAGTTACAGAAGGTCAAATATGACAATGTTATACTGAGTGTAACACTTGTATCATGGGAGATATAATGGTGCTTGTGTAGTGTCACACATTACTTGTAGAACATAAAATTCAAATGAAGAACATGAGTGTGTATGCGTGGGATGTTCATTCCCTCCTGGATATGACGTCACGGCATATACACAGCGTGGCAGCGGCAGCCACACACGTCTCTCAGTCTGCTGTACTGTGTGGTTCACTCAGCATCACCCAAGAGGATGGTTTGGGGGTGGAAAGTCTCTCCCCCCCCCGTATATAAGATGTGTTGTTGTATTTTATTAACATAGCAGTTTTTGTTCATGCTTTGGAAACATTCCTCTAATGAGCAATTGTCCACCATTTTTGTTTGGGCAGAAAAGTTTCAAAGTTGGCTTTCTTGAAACCTGTAGAATGAGTTAGACTGCAGGATGTTGCTGGCTTTAAGTGTACTGTATGTGCAGTTATTTATGTGGCCTCAGAAAATCTGGGGAAGCTCAACGTTGGGGATATATCCTTGGATTGTGTCTATAGAGTTTTGTTTCCTGGGTGACATTAGTGCTGGAGGTGGTGCTGAAGTTAGTTCAGTTGTCAAACTCAGAAATAGCTGGAGGAAGTTTAGTGAGCTGTTGCCTTTGTTGACATTGAGATTACTTTATCTTTGCTTGAGAGAAAAGTTGTAAAAACTTTGTTGTGTTATAGTGAAACTTGTGCAGTTAAAAATGGTGACATGAGTAGACTTGTTGAAACCGAAATGAGAATGGTGAGATAGATAAATAATGTGGTGGTAAGAGGTAGGAAACTATGTGTGGAGCTAAGAGGAGGGCTGGGTACTGAGAGTATTGACAAGGTTTTGAATAGAGGTATTGTAGGCTGAAATGTCTTGGGCACATAGAGAGAATTGAGAAGAGTAATTGGGTCAAAAGATACGTATGTTTGAACATGGAAGAGTGGAAAAGTAACGGTAGGTGAAGAATGCCATGAGAGGAGTGATCTCGGGGATATCCACCTGACTAGAGAGGTCACAGTATATTTTGTAACCTGCCACCAAGTAATGACAACTAACCCACAAATTTGGAAAATAGCCATAAAATGTTAATAAGGTTGACTACATCCCTGTACAGTGTAGCATTCAGTAAAGTTAATCTCCCCCCAACGAACTAAGTAGAGTTTTCCAAGGGCTCACATTTTTTTCATTACTCTCCTTTAATACTCTTAGGACTTTTCATGTACTGTACACACTCTCAAAAAAGTATTGCACATTCCCCATGAAACAAGCTAGCTCCACAGATGATAGAAATTGCAAAATGCCATATATCACTTGCTGGCACCCTTTCCTGTTTTATCCATAGAAAGTATTATTATAAATGCACATTCAGAAGAAAATCGATTAATCCTGCAAACAATGTGTAGTGTAGTTCATGCTGGTGGTTACGCTGCAGCATGGGTGTATTGATCGTTTGGGAAACCATATGACCCAGTGTGGCCAGATACTTTTTTGATCGTGTGTACCCCACATTTTAGCAGGGAGTATTTAGAAAAAACTTTTGTATATATTTTCCTCCTGTAGTCATAGTTTTCTTAAAAAAATATATATAGTACCGTAAATGTGAGGAATAAATCAAAATAATACCAATAAATAAGGTACAACAAAAAATACTGTATTGCCACACCAGTAAATAAAGCCAAATGAAAGTTCAACACAGTCGCCATTTGCATATACTCCCTGGCTCACCATATCAATGCAGATGCCATCTCTGCCAATTCCCTAGCATCACTCCCTCAGTGGACCAGCTAACTCGTGTGTAAAGAAATGTTTATTCCCTTTACATTTTTCCCCTAGGACAATTATTTCTTTTACTTTTTCACAATATGTATGAAGGATGATGTGTGCATGTAACTGAGTAAAAATAAATGAATAAAGTTGCGTAAATCTACCCAAAAATACGAGATGAAAAACAACCATAACACCGGTAGCTTAGTAGTTATAGTGATGAGTCTAACCAGGCCACAATGCTGCCAGCGATGTTAACAGACGCAAATGTGAAAGGAAAGTTTTCTGTAAATCTTTATTTGTTTTAGGTATTTTCGGATTTAAAAATAAATGTTGCAGGTATGGCTTTAATAGATTGTAATGCTTGTAAGAGTTCAGAAATGGTTACTGCTTAGATACCTCTTGAAGAGTTGGGTGTCTGCCGTACGGATGTTAATTGTCTCAGGTTATTGTCATCAGTACAGTACTGTAGTTTTAAATCGAGCTTTTATATATACGTATACAATAATTATTTTTTAATTAATTGAAATAATAGTGTGTTTAAGTAAGCAATAACATATTTTTAATTCTGGAGTTGGGTTAGGTAGAATTTAGCCTACTGGAGACAGCAACTGGGGGATTCATTAGCTTACTGGAGACTGCAACTTCACATTTAGGACAGAGGCTGATTTTTTTGGACCATTTTTCAGACAAAAAAGTGTATCTTATATGCCATAACATACGGTAGTTAAAGTGTTGTATCAAATGTTGGTAATGTTTTTCATCCTATTTCCACCAGATGCTGAACAAGACTTGGTATGAAAGTCAACAAAAGACCTTAAGAGGAGGTGGGAATGAGATGACTATGCCTGGTATGGATAACTTAAACCTTTAATCAAAAACTTTTGTTACTACCTTTACCATTAAAGACTTTGCAGGACAGCAGTGAAAGAGACAGTCATCAACTATTGTTCATGTAGTTAAGATTTGCTATTATAGAAGTAGAAAATCACAAATCATCTTTTAGAAGAACTGATAGAATATAAAGTGTGCTTGTAATGTTTTATTAATCAGATGTCATGATATTTCTGAACTATATAACCTGGTTGTATAACAGGTCTTCTTCACAGGATATTGCAGGGTTTGGACATGTTGTAAAGCAATAAATGTATAGATCCTGGGAATGTAGTACTGTACTGGTAGTGCATTGTCTTGCTATAAATGGTCTTGTTGCCGGTAGATATTTGAATACATATTTGTTACAGCAATATTGTAATAATTTCCTATTAATTCATTATAAACATTCTTCCTCTCCAACAATATGGAAGAACAAATACTTATAATGTATACAGCCTTAACAACATCAACCTAGAGAAGTCGACTTGTGAAAGAGACCTAGGGGTACTTGTAAGCCCGGACCTACAGCCTAGAAAACAGTGCGTTAATGTTCGAAATAAGGCAAACAGAGTATTAGGTTTTATATCCAGAAGTGTAAGTAACAAGAGTGCAGAGGTCTTATTGCAACTATATCTTGCACTAGTCAGGCCGCACCTCGATTATGCGGTTCAGTTCTGGTGCCCCTATTATAGAATGGATATCAATTCACTAGAGTCGGTGCAGCGAAGAATGACGAAAATGATTCCGGGACTTAGAAACCTTCCATATCAGGATAGGTTAAAGAAACTTAACTTGCATTCCCTAGAAAGACGAAGAGTGCTGGGAGATATGATAGAAGTATTTAAGTGGGTGAAAGGAATCAATAAAGGGGATATAGATAAAGTTCTTATAATATCCGAGCAGGATAGGACTCGGAGCAACGGATTCAAGTTGGATAAGTTTAGGTTTAGGAGGGAGATAGGAAGAAACTGGTTCACAAATAGGGTGGTGGACGAGTGGAACAAGCTTAGCAACTTTGTAGTAAGTGCGGGAACTCTGGAAAGTTTCAAAAGGAGGCTAGATAGATTCATGGATGATAGAGAGTGGTAGTAACTCTCGACAGGAGCTGCCATGCACAGGCCAACCGGCCTATTGCAGACTCCTTATTTTCTTATGTTCTTATGTAATATGGCACTATCAATATTACAAATATATTCTGCCAAAACTTAACTATTTTGTAAGACAATGTACCTGTAGGTGAGTGTAGACAGTTGGTGAAGGTTTAACAACTACTATACCTGGTTTTTGCTAGTTCTGAAAACTTTTGCCATTGTTATATACAAAAGATATTTCACATATTGTTTGTTTTTCTTGTTTGTATTTGCAATTCTGTATTAATTTTTTATGACACCGTACATTTGACATCATAAGGTTACATTAAGTTTTAATTTCCTAACAATCTCTCCAGTCCTGAGATATACAGTACTGTATTGTGTAGCTCAAGTACTTTTTAACATTAATTACATTTGTTCAGTTATTGTTACTGGAGTGATCACTGTGTATCCAAAAATTTATTTGATACAATATAAAAATTCCCTGATTATCCATCCATCTTTATCCTAAAATATTCAAGCCTGGAATTTTTTTTTTTAAGTCAGTGGGATTAAATGTTCTCATTGATGGCATTTTACATCCTAACATGCATATACACTAGATCCTCAATTTCTATGGCCTGTGAGTTTGTGATTTTGATTATACTGCGACGAACTACTGTAGTTAAAACCATTACCAGTATTTCCATATCTGCTTCACTTTACTGCTGATGGATGATGAAGAGATGAAGATACAGGCAATTTCCTTTCTACACAAAAACTTTCTGTACCGTGAATGATATTTTGGGGCCAGTAAAGTTCACCCACAATAGTCCTGTCGCCTCTCCTGAACCACCAACCCTGAGATTCAGACTCGCGAATACGGAGCATTTGTGAACAGAATAATACAACGGTGTCTACAGCTCCATGTTCACATGTCTGAATTTCAGGTTCGTGGTTCAGGAGAAGAGGCAACTGGACTTATGTGGGTGACTGTACACAACATCTTTTCAGGCTTCAGTATCTTTGTGTGACTGTTCTTTTCTAATCTCTAGTACTCACAACTATGGCTTCTATATAAGTTGAGACTCCTCTTAAACCTATCGCTTATACGTATATAGAGTAAGCTAAGGGCCTACACTCACTACTTAGAGGAATTAAAAGCTGGGAGCCACATCCACCTAGGAGTGGGTGAGTGTTAGTTATCTATTAAAGCACTTTTATTATTGTTTATTACTGCTACATTTAGTGGGCTTGGTGCTACAGTTTTATGACATTGATGCTTCCCACCATTTCCCATAATGACTTTGGTGTCTACACATCCAGTAGTCTTGGCATTATCCAGGTATATAATGGCAACATAAATTGAGGGTTTACTGTATGTATGTTATGTAAAGAATACGTATACCTAAACACCACTGCAAGACACATCTGATTAGGCAGTTAAAACAGTATGAAAGTTGGTGTTGCTCTTGATTCCAGTCAGCTTGTGTGTGCCTCAACAGGATCGTACAGTACAGTACCTGCAAGAGTGAAAAAAATCATTAATACCAGTTTGATGGTTTTACAAGTTCATTACCATCATTTCAGTGTTCTGCTGCTCTACATTTTTTAAATCTTGGTGAACAGTGAACATTAGTTCTTGACACAGTGAATGAAGAAGTGTTTCATTTAAGTGCATTAGTAGGTTGACTAATTGCACTTAATTAATTATTGTCTATCATTCATTTACCTTTAAATCTGTTCCACTATTGTGTAGGACAGATCAAGATACTGTATACTGTACAGAACGTTATTAACCCCTTGTGTATGAGGCATCCTTGTAGTGAAGGGATTATAATGTTACTCCACACAAGATATTGTACAGAGGAAAAGACTGATGGTCACCCCAGCAGGTAAACATCAGTACTAAATTAGGAAATTTTTGAAAGAAAAGAAGAGGAGAGAAAAAAGTATAAAGGGGAAAAAATGGACACTGAAATTTGTAAAAGATGAAACTGTTTGGCAGAGCTCCATTTTGTTGTTTGAGTGTGGCGATGGTATGTTTTTATAATAACCTCTACCTGACAGTCTGTTCTGGTTAAATGATTTTGTTTAATCATTTTTTTTAATGTTCTATGTGAATATTACTTTGAACACATTACAACATAAGTTTGGTTATTATAGCGAAGTTACCAGAATTCATGAAATTTTGCTTCCCATCTCTAACTTATTTTGAATTTCATGAGCTTGAAATTCATCCTTTTTGTAATATGATTATTTTTGTTGCAAAGGACTGGAGAATTATTTAGATGAGAATGACATACACTTGATTGTCTACTGATCTATCTTGTTGAAATTTGCTTCAGATCAACAAGATGTTTACTACTACAAGAATGCCTGTTCTTATTTTTGGTGAATGTAACTTACACAATTTACAAGGTAATTATGATTTTTAGGGGAACGGGGCCTAGTTCTGTACAGGTAATCTTATTTATTGAAAGGGTTCCATTCCTGACAACATTAGCATTTGTGCAAAAATACAATCTGCATAACTGATTATCCTGTAAGAAAGCATATGTTTAAGGGGATGTTTCATGGACTGAATATTGGTTTTTTTTTGTGATATAAAGTTTGCTTGGTGAAGAATTGGCAGGTCTTGTGTTCATTATGTATGATTTGGGCCAATTTCTATAGATAAAATTGTACTCAAGTCGGCACAGTACAGGTGCTCCTCTACTTAGGAACGAGTTACATTCCTGAGGCTTGTTCGTAAGTCCAACTTTACTCTTGTGGATACCAAACTTTGTAAAAATTAAAAGATAATAGATGTTTAGTACAGCTATACCCTTTAATACAGCCTTAAAACCTGGCTCACTCTTCTCTTGGGTAATGTTTGTTCTATCTGAAATTTTCTTCAAAATAATCAAGTCTCATCCACATTAAACACCTGCTGTGGAGAAGTACCTGTAATTATATTGACACACTTCCCTGTGCATCTAGAAGGGTCATGTTGATATGTGTGCAAAGTTGTTGATTTTTTCTAACGGGACAGTAAAGTTCATAACGGTAACAAAAGAACAGCCAGCTGCCCAAATGACTAATGAGTTCATAAGTGGTGAAATAATAAAGAACAATTAAATAAACTAAATAGCATTGCAAAAAGAAAAGAGCTAATTAATGTTTTGGTCATTGAAATTAAGTTGCAATGAACCAAAATTGTATTATGTGAATTCGTGATAAACAAGTAGGGTACAGTACAGTACTGCCTCTTCTATAGAGTTGTCTTGAAGTTCCTCCCACCAAAAAATATTACATTAATTAAAAGCTTAACGTGTTTTCAATGAGATCACTACACAATGTTCAGTCAGATATTTTACAGTGCCTGTCAGGACTTGTGTGTTTTTTTATGATGTCTTTAAGTCTAGTGATGGACTGTACACCTGTAAAACTAAATTTCTTTACTAAGATACACACAGTACACTATTTGTTACTACAGGTTACCCTACCCTCACTTTCACCGGCTTCACGAGGACCAGATTCACTCGTACACAATTTACCTTCACTGCCCAAATTTCACTTAAACCGGCTAAGGTTCACTCGGACATGGAGACACATTGTACATTTCGTCTTCACATATAGAAATACAAGGTGTTGTGAGACATGGGAGAACACTGAATAGGTATACAGTATTCAAACTCAGTGAGGGGAAGCTACTATGGGAACCCTTGATTAATCACAGCACAACATCATTCAGTCTGCCAATCACATGTACAGTAGTGACCACCCTCCCGAGGGTTTTGGACAGCTGGGGTGCTCAGCCACACTGAATCTAGCAAGTTTTCCTGACCAAACAAGTACTGTATCTGGTATTGAGAAGTCCCCTATTGAGAAGGTTTACTGTATAATTATTAAAAGAAATGTATGAACATCCTTGTGCTATTTCTCGTAAAACATTTGTTCATAAATAAAGATTATAATGCAGGTAAATTTGCCCAGTCTTAAATTTTCAAAAAGATAACTTATTATTTCACTAGATCTCAAGTACCATGAAAATGTATGGAAATTAAAATGCACTTGTAACTTAACTAAAGAAATTAGGAATTCACCCTGAGTTCCCATTTTATAACTGTGGGATTGAATGGTTCTGCAATAGGTACGTGAGCATAATATTCCTCAAAGCATGTTGTTATCAAAGGAAGGGATATTGAGCTGTAGTAGATAAAGCTCTCGTGTTATAGATAACTACTTCATAGTACTAGCAAGAGAACCTGAAAGACCTCCCAACACTATACCTTGTCCCTTTTTCATCCACACATTGAGGTACAGTAAAAGGAAATGAAGGATTAACTGATAACTAGGGTCCATTTTGCAAGACTAAATTCGCTGTCATCTCTCCCGGGTGGGGGCAGATGAAGCAGTGACTCCCGTGCGGTCATGTGCTCCTGATTTACATTGTGTTAACATAATGACTCTAGTAATTCAAATGTGATGTTCGTGATTCAAAAGTGTGGGTACAGTACACTTTGTCATTATCCAAGCTGGGGAGTGAAAGTACTGTATTAGATCAAAACTGCTGTATTGTTTTTACAAGGAATTTGTATCTTGATTTATGATATATATTTACAAGTTTATAGTTTTACAATAGCAAGTAATTTACAACTTTATTTCTATTTACAATATTTTTTAGATTATATTTCATTGTGTTATGGTGTAAAGGCTATGTAAGTATATCTTTAATTTATAAAGAAAATGAGAGTTACAGAAGTTCTAAACAATTTGCCTGGCTACAGCCATAACAAAATTGTTAATAAGCTGACATATTTAGCGAATCCAACTCCACGTCTCAACATGACTCTCCTGGAATTTCTTGTATTTTCCAAGTGATTTACCATACAGAGTACAGCACAGTATTTGTTAACGTCAGGAAAGTGACAATGGTAAGAGAGCGTGCAAACCCATCACTTTAGTTGTTAAGTTGAAGGTAATGTGGTGTATTGAGGCTTTCAAAAAGAAGACGACCATCAATAAAATGTTACGTCTCTTGTAGTGTACAGTACTCGGATTACAATGTATAATACTGTATAATTAATGATGAGATGATTCAATTTACTGTAAAATTATTCAGTTCACAGTACAGTAGTGTATTGAGGAATGCAGCCCTATCATTGAAGATATAGTTGTACAGTACTGTAATATAGGCAGGAGGCTAAGTATAAAAGAAATTTTTTTTTTTTGGACATTTAAAGGGAATCCAGTTTCTTACTTGTAGAATTCTTGGACAATTGACAGCACTTTGGTATTGTTTATCGATGCAAAAGTCTTTTTGTGGGGTGTTACTTCCCTAAAAATACTCATCAATGAAGGAGATATGATTGATTCTAAGAACCAATAATATACCTAGTCTGACCTGCTAATGGCTACTTCATGAAATGTGATTTTAGAAGATGTGTGATTGCTTCCAGAAAGGTCAACAGCACAACATTTACAATACAGTACTGTGCAGTATATGAAATGAAGGCTGCTTGTGACATCAGGAAAATATCATTCCCATGAGCTAAATGGAAAAAATGAAGAGTGACAAACCATAAAGATCTTGGCAACATCTTTCTAACCCTCAGTAACAGTAGGTAAATGTAGCAGCCACTAATTCAGTGCCAAAATACATCTTGAGGTAAAGGAAAGGTGTCTGAAAGTTATCTTGTGTCCCAAAGCATTGACAACACTTCAATGACTCCAGAAAACTTGAGAGTTATGGGAACAGTCAGTGTGATGACTAATGAGCAGTGGTGTAGACTGATGTAAAGAGTGAATGGATCAAAGTGTCACTGATGAATATGTTTCTGTAGCTACGACAAAATGGCGATGGATTTTCTCGAGAAAATTAATTATGTCCTATAATCTTTCTGCCTCGATTACCAACATCCATCTCAGCAGGAGGCCCTTTAAAGGAGTGTCTGACTTGCTGGTAAACAAGAATGCAGATACTGTATTACCCTGAACATCATAGTGAAATGCACTATATACATGATTGATAAATATACAGTATATCCAAGACCAAACCAAACCAAGGAGACCATTAGTACACATTCACCATGCGGCGGCTGACAATGTTAAGAAGAAATTCAGAAATTCAAGAGATGAGTCACAACACATGATGAACAGGACAGAAGGATGTATGCCAGGTCCAGGAACCAAATCAAGTCAGAGTAGGACTGAAAAAGTTTCAGTGGCAGATTGCGACGTCAAGTCAAACCCAAGGGCTTTCTACCGTTTCGCAAAGTCGAATTTAAAGACATCCGTGGGCATATCAAATTTGTAACCTAAAGACTCAGAACAGGACAAAGAAGAGGCATTAAACAAATCTTTTCCTCAGTGTTCACAGGAGAGGATCTGAGGAAAGACGGTTTGATACAGTGCTGATGCACATTATGTTCTCAGAAGACTGTACAGTATTAGGAACAAAATGTCAACACTAAAGGTTCATATGAGCCCTGGCCCTGTTGGCGTATATCCCAGAGTGCTACGAGAGTTATGCAACGAGCTTGCTGAGCTCCTTAAAATTCTGTTCTTACAGATGCATGGACTAGAAAAAGATACCCAGCGACTGGTAAATGGTGTATGTGAGTGCTATATTCAAACGGAGATCGCCACTCCACAAATAAATATAAGCCATTGATTGAGCTTGACCAGCATATTGTGTAAATTACTAGAGAGCATAATAGAAGCTGCCATGATGAAACATCTACAGTACTACGATACAACCTAGTAATGGAATGCCAACATGGTTTTGTGCCGGGACACACTTGTGTGATACAATTACTGAAGTTTGCTAAGGCTTTCGATAATGTACCCCATGAAAGGTCGTAAATTAAACTGAAAGGGTATGGAATTTTGGGGGAGCATCCTAGCATGGATTGGAGACTTTCTTCATGACCACAAGCAGTGTGTAGCTATTAATGGCACAAAATCTCCATGCCGCAGTACAAGCACAAAATAATCCCAGGTAATTTTGGCACTGAAAGAGGTAGCCATAACTGAAGCTGGAATTGTTGCTGTAACTGAACTATATAAGGAAATGAGGGGAAGAGGTGAGTTAATGTATTGGTCATCGTCATATAGTATCAAATAACAATAAAATATCTTTCGTGAAATATTCTTACACCATTGTACAGTACAGTATATGAAGAAAAAACCATTACAATGATGATGATAGCAAGGGTGATCAATAATTGGTCGTACACTATGTTAGTACTGTATTGTACTGTATATAAACTCACTGGGCTACAGCATATCTGGTTGAGCTCGGAAAGTATCACCCACCCCGCCTCATTTACCTTATAATTCAATCCCCTACTCCCCCTAAATACCACTCTAGTACAATACTTCCAATCCTATCCCCCCCCTGCCTCACCCCACCCCCTGCCTCACCCCACCCTTTAACAAAACCCAATAGTCCCGCTTTCTTCGCTACAAACGTCAAGTTCCAGAAGTACAGAACAGAAGGGAAGAGGTACATAACCCCTGGCCTTTCCCCACCACCTGAATTATTGACTAGAAAGAGCCTTGCCCTTTAGAAGTGCAGTGATGTGCCATTTAAAGTCAATGATCACATGAAGATTAGACATCCCAGCTTATTTCACCTGATGATTGAACACCCTGAAGTTAACCTATTCTAATCTAACTCCTAAGTAGTGTTAGAATGTTTAATAACGAGGTGAAATTAAGCTGCAGTGTGGAATCTTCAGATGATATAAAGTTTTATTTGGTTTATTACACAACACCACCAAGTTACTTATACAAAAACAAAAGTAGAATATTCCAATGGTGGTTTAGCATTATGACATAAGGTCGATCCTCTACCTGATCTACACCACTTGATCCAGTCTACCTGATCTACACCACTTGATCCACTCTACCTGATCTACACCACTTGATCCACTCTACCTGATCTACACCACTTGATCCAGTCTATCTGATCTACACCACTTGATCCACTCTACCTGATCTACACCACTTGATCCATTCTACCTGATCTACACCACTTGATCCAGTCTATCTGATCTACACCACTTGATCCACTCTACCTGATCTACACCACTTGATCCACTCTACCTGATCTCCACTTGATCTACACCACTTGATCCAGCCTACCTGATCTACACCACTTGATCCAGTCTACCTGATCTACACCACTTGATCCATTCTACCTGATCTACACCACTTGATCCAGTCTACCTGATCTACACCACTTGATCCAGTCTACCTGATCTACACCACTTGATCCAGTCTACCTGATCTACACCACTTGATCCACTCTACCTGATCTACACCACTTGATCCACTCTACCTGATCTACACCACTTGATCCATTCTACCTGATCTACACCACTTGATCCAGTCTACCTGATCTACACCACTTGATCCAGTCTACCTGATTTACACCACTTGATCCACTCTACCTGATCTACACCACTTGATCCAGTCTACCTGATCTACACCACTTGATCCAGTCTACCTGATCTACACCACTTGATCCTAACTGATGTTGTCTAGCTAATTCAAATCAGTTAGTCCAGACCAGGTGACTGTGGCAAACTGAGCCCGATTAACTGATCCAGACCTCACAGGGCACCCCTAACCCCCCAGACCAGTTCACTAGGGTACCTAACTTTACAATTGTGTAAGTGAAGGTGGTCAAGTACAGTGCCGATTACAGTGTTTAAGTGGATGGTGTGTTATATCCACACTACCCCTAACATCTATGAGGCCTATGTTCATTTTCGAGGAAAGTCGCAGATTCCATTGATGCCCCGGGCGTTGGTATATTAGAATGCCGTAAAGTGCATTCTCAGAGATGCCTTCTTTAAATCTATGGTAATTTCCAGTGGCGTGTTTGTGCGAATCACCCGCTGAACTGATGTGAGTCAAAGTGTACCATAGTCCTTAACAACCTGAGGATATGTAATACAATGTACTGTACATTCTTAAGGGCGGCTCCGACTAAAGTTTCAAATGGGTGTATGCTTATTAACATATTTCCTAATTCTGTTCACTTGATTCTATAATTTAACTCCATCATAACACACACTTGCATAAGGTGTATATTGCTTTCTCGAAATTCAACATACATAATATGTGACACGTTTACATACTACTTAAAGCCTCATATATTCACAAAGGGCTAACTAAAAAAAAAAAATTTTGATTGTAATTTACCCTGATAAAACACTCCTAAGGTCACATTAATAAACATTCATTGAAAACAATAAGAAGATCGTGTGTAAAGTTATACAGTGAATAAACATTACCCACCTACTTATACATGAACTTTGCCTGGCGGTCTTTTTGGGCAGCAAACTTTTCGATGGTTTTCTTGTTAAAGTCTGGTATCTCGTGGACCAGTTGTTTCTCTATTGACAGCATCGCCAGGGCGCTGAGTCGATCCTGGTTCATCGTGTTTCTCAATAAGGTTTTTATCTTTTTTAGAGTTGAAAAACATCTCTCAGGATCAGTCGTTGTCATGGGTGTTGTGATGAGAATTCGCAGTAATGTTACAGTCTCTGAAAATGTATCTTGCAGATCATTTTCAATAAAAAAGCGAAATAGTGCCATAGCACCACTAGCACAACGAAATTCTGGCTTTTCATATATAATACAAAGTTCAGTGCGCAATCTTTCTCTGTTTAGCATTGGATATGTTTGCACTGTATCATTTAATGCTTGCATTGGGAATCCCTGGTTGTGTTTTTCGAACAAGTCACTTTGTAGGAGCTTTGCACTCACCAGATGCTTTGTGAACGCAAATCGTTCTTTCGCATTGACAATTATTATGTCACACACCTTCTTTGCCACTTGCTCCAATTTCTTCAATACGACGGGACATTGAGGAAACTCTGAATCTGCTGACAATTTTGAACCCAGTTCCTCAATACATTCCCGTACTTTGTTGATATTCTTGACAAATTCTGCAGTAATTTTCTCAACAAAAACTGTATCAATGTCTCGCTTCTGGAGCTGACTGTACAACTCTACAACATGGGGCATTATTTCATGGAAAAGAGAAAGAAAATAAACGAACTCTCTGTCTTGCAGAATGCGAATAAACGCCCGCGCCTCACGGACAGAATTGGACTCGAATTCTCTTGAACTTTCGATTGTCTTAAAGCATTCAAGGAGGTCCTCTCTGTGCTCATAGACAATATTAACTGTTCGAACATTGATCCATCGCGTTGCTGTCCCTCGAGGAAGTCTTCTGCTTACTATGGCGTCCAGTACCTCTGTCCTCTTTGGAAAGCGCGAAAAGAAGGCCGGAAAGCCGGACAAATCGCAAAAGAAAATTCTAACTTGTGAGATTCTAGACACTGCTTGTTCCATGAATAGGCACAGCTGGTGGGCATAAGAGTGAACATAATGAGCATTAGGGTATATGTCCTTCACCTTCCTTTGAACGCTGCCAGTTTCCCCACGCAACACGTTAGCACCGTCGTAGCTTTGAGAAATCAATTTTTGTTTATCGTTATTCTCTGGGAATACAAAATCCAGTTGTTCAAGCAAATTTGTAGCAAAGGATTCTGCACTCAAATTTTGCAAATGTGTAAATCCGAAAAATCTCTCAACAACTTTACCATTTCCATCAATATATCGATACACTAGTGCTGACTGGCACTTGGTTGACACGTCGGTGGTGTCACCAACGTGTATAGCCACATATTCGGTGCTTCTAAGTTGTTTTACAATGAACTCCCTAGCCACGTCTAGCATGCAGTCGAGCAGTTCGTTTTGAACAGTTTTTGAGGTGCCTTTAAACACCGTTGCAGATTTCACGTGTTTCTCCATTACTCTGTCTATACTGGATACGAAATCAACTAGGCCTCCAAACACTCCGGAGTTCAAGGATGACTCTATTTCGTCGTGGCCGCGTACTGCCAGTTCAAAAACACCACAGAACCGTATACAATCGATTAACTTTGACAGGGTGTAGCGGTTCCTCTCAACTTCCTCATTATGCTTTCGTATTCCCACACGATAACTTTCATCTAGTTGTGTGGCAATACTTTTATTGCCTAACATAGCTAGTTTTACTGCATTGTCTAGGTGGCTCTTACATGATTCGTGTTTCTTTATTTTTTCGGAAAGATGTTTCAGGTCATTTATTCCCAGCTGTGACCAGGCCACTTCACCGCCAAACAATAAACAAGGGAAACAGAATAACGACTTTCTGGATGCGCTGCCACACAACCACTTCTTTTTCTCGTACCAACTCGTCGTGAACCTCCGTACGTACTCCTTGCCCTTGTCCTTTGATGACTGTTCAAGTATTAAATCCGGCTGATGAGGTCCTAATCTTTTCACCTGAAGTCTGTCTTCATAACTCAGTCCTATAAATGATTTCACAAGTAACTGTTCGACTGTGTTCATCTTGTCCATTAGCAGAAAAAAGCCGGACGTGCCATTTGTCGTTTCCTAGGTAACGAGTCGAGTAACAGGGCGGTAATTCCAGCGTCCCAGATTCTAGTATATAATGCGGCGTCACTTGCTTGAGACCTCGGAAAGCCCAGTGAGCATGTGCAACACGGGTAGTGGAAAAAAACGCCTTTTTATGGATTTTGTTTCATTTATATTTTTACATTCTATATACTTATATATATATACATATTTACATATACAGTGTTTATATGTATATATCTGTCTATATAAATACATTCATATACTGTATATATGTATGTATGTATATGTGTGTGTATGCATGCGAAAGAGCGGTATTAACATGCGATTCATGCACGCTAATGCCCTCTGTACACGAGCCGTCGCCAACACGTCATTGAACTCGTCCCTTGCTGTCATTTGTACTTACACAAGAGGCAGCGAGTGACAAACGACGGCATCTTATTGGCTCATTTTCTAACCAGTGAAAAACGCGGTCTCAATGAACATGGAGATGATGAACAAAAAAATTAGATTTTAAGATGGAAACAAACGTTCTGGCCTCTGTCTGCACTCACCCCTGAAGTAATTTAAATAACAGATTTTCTGGGTATATTACCTACAGCGCTAATGGACAGCCGTTTACTAAAGATAGGGTGAGTCGTCATTACACAGGTCAGTCGGATCGCAGGACGGAGCTGAAATGTTGAGGTGCAGGTACCGAGGGCAGTGGTAATCAATGCTCCTACACCTAACAATAGTAAGTCTTTTCTGTTTATTGAATAAAATTGAAATACATATAATTTAATCACAAACTGATATAATATTGCAGTGCATTAAGTGAATTTTACTTTGCTTTGTTTTTAAGGAAGGCTTCACCTGTTCATCTGCTTCTCTGACGCTATCACACCTCCCTGGCGGGTTTACAGCTAAAAACATTCAGGGCTGTGTAATAAAATAACGTCTTGATCCATCCAGTGCTTGTCCAGTCGAAAATCGCCACTTGGAGATTTGACCAACTACTCAGGTAAGCTGTCCTTTGTAGCAGCTTAATGTGTGGGCGTGTCTTGGGCTGCTTCTGTGTGGGTGTGTCTTGGGCAGCTTAAAGTTATGACCTCAAGTAGTACAGTACTGAGGTCAGTCCTTTCAACACACTCGAATGTGTGGACGTGTTTCGTTTTTTTGTGGATGTCATAGTGCATCGCATACTCTAAAAATGGCTCCACAAAAACCTTTTCAATCATCTGAAAATTTCTGCATCTAAATAGATGAGAGATCACCACAATAAAGTCACTAAGTTACTTTACTGTTTATTTTACTTTATCTTCTTCACTAATCGGTCTGTTAGCCGCTAGGGTGGTCGGTTACACACTGTTGGCAAGAATCAGTTTAGTGTCCTCTCTAACTCCCATATCCTTCTCTCTCTTCTTTTCACTCAAGTCGCTCAGTTTATCCTTCGTGTAAAATATTCCCCGGTTTATTCCTCCTTGTCATTCACCTTCCATCTCGCTGCGTGAAACCCGATTTAGTTTTGTTTTTGTTTACGGGAATTAGCCCACCTGGGCACAGGTCAAACGACCCACAACGGAGCCTGGGGGGCGAAAAAAAAAGAACGGAAAGAAATTGAAAATATAGAAAAAAAGGTTATACTGTATTAATCTACATCACGAAGATGCCAGAAAACCAGCTTTTTAAAGTGAGTCAGATTGTAAGAGCATGGAAACACAGAAGAAGGCAGAGCATTCCACAGTTTGGCTGTGTGAGGAAAGAAGGAGGTTGTAGTGGATTTCTCCCCTACAAACGCTGTTTGTCGCTGAGTAGCCGACCCCACCAATTCCACAGTGTGTGCCTCGTGGTCTAGGTCAACCAGCGCCGCCATACATCACGGAGCGGAGGTCAACTACTAAGCCACGCCTACCCCCGCTATTTAAGACCTGACCTCGTGGTGACCTGCCTCTTTCTACCTACAGCCGCAGCCAGCAACACCTCCTCCTCCGCCGCTGCCTGGCGGCCCTCGCTCCTCCTCCGCCTGCCTGGTGGTCCTCGCTCCCGCTGGCGAGCATGGCGACCCACAAGCTGTCCTTCTCTGAGCGTCCTCACCAACCAGCTCTCTCTACATCACGCTTGTAACCATGCTGCCTTCCCAGCACCAAGCTGCATTGTACATCCAATACAACATGTATATAGAGAGCACATTGTGAGTTTCCTTTCTCCGTTCCATCCTGAGTGTGAACCAAACATCTTGAACCCCACAAGGTACTATAACGGGTTATTCTCGTGTGACCGACATCCACAGAGAAATGGTGGGCACCGCGGGCAAGACGAGTGTTACGAACCCACGGCCTTGCCGGCGGTACACAGGATGCCAAATCCACTGAACATTGCCCATTAAAGTACCTGTAAAAGAGAGAGAGTGAAGCAACATTGCGGCGAAGAGAAAGGGGAGAGAGATTGTCGACTAAAGGAGGAGAGTTAATAAGACGAAATGCCTTTGATTCCACCCTATCTAACAGTGGACAGAAGAAGAGCCACCCCAGATATGAGAGCAGTACTCCAACTGCTCAGGAGTGAAGTAGCGGCGGCATCTGTACAGCATTCCCAACTTTCGGGAGGCAGCTTTAGTAATACTAAGGATGTGTGATTTCCAGGACATTGGAGGAAATGGTGATTGAACATGTCAGGACATATCGGCAGAACAGTCACTGGATCTACCACTCATACAGTCAATTGCTTACCATTGTGTGTATTATTATCCCCGTGTGATCAGAAGTACAGCTTTTATATAGCAAACATGTGTTGTTCCCAGTGGCTGTTTGTTTTCTTGTGTATGTATGTATGTATGTATGTAACATTTTGAGGTAATTATTGACAAATCCGTTGCCGATTTTTCATGGAAAATTAATTTAAAAACGCTGGAATTTCACTGTTTTACGGTGGACGCCCGTAGTTTGGGCAAATGTGTTAAAACAGGTTATTTATAAATTAAACCTAACTTTAGTTGATACTGTTATGCCGAGGCATAATGTCGTATTATAATTTCGTAAACTAAGTGTTTTGATTGTTTTCTGTCCCATGCAGCAGTTATCTTGGCAAATTTAGTGAAATTTTCGTGGTATATTAATGTATTAATTATTATGTAAGTATATTCTAGGATGTATTGCATCATTATTTTATGGTTTACTTGTTATAAACCTCCCAGGCGTCTCTGGGTGGTGTTGGGCTGTTCGAGATGCATCTGTTAAGGTACCGTACGCTCTTGTCTAGTCTAGGCTCTAGAGCGGCCGCGGCTGCCTCAACAGACACACAAGGACCTGGACCCCCCAACACCACAAACTACCATGTCTTCGCTTGCCGGAGTGGACCTGCGGGAATGGTGTCGTGGCAGACATAACCCCGTCCTCACAAGGTGGATAACCCACCTGCTATCAAATCTCCCACTTCATTTCCCACTTGCTAACTTTACCTTCCTCCTACACCGTCTTCCACCTTCAGATTAAACGGCTCTCTTCTCTCCATCTCATCATCATCAGTGGAGTTAGTCGATCGCTTCTGTTCATAGTGTAAAGACTAAGCCTAGTAGAACAACTGAAGACAATTGTTGTGCAAGTATTGTTGCGATTAATATAAAGTGAGAAGACTAAGGAATTGTACACTGGTAGTGTGAATATATATTTACTTTCATCCTCTTCACCACTGATCGGCTCGTTAGCCTCTTGGGCAATCGGTCAAGTCTCTGTTATGCACTGTCTTGAAAGAGCTCACACTCGGTGCCGTCACAACACTTGCTGGCAGACTGTTCCAAGAGTTCACAACTCTCACTCCGAAAAAGTTAGCCCTCACAATTTTCGAAGTGTGGAGTTAAGCTGTGAAGACATTGACATTACCCTGTCAACAGTGTTGTGAAGAAATGGTGTTTATTAAAGAAGACTACAGTGCACAAGTGTATTTCTGTGACCTGGTGGAAATCTACCTACCTATTATTTGTCTATGCATTGATTCCGATCGTCGGGAAGTTAGAGGGGACTGCTTCTGTACATACGACCCTAGCCGCTGGTAATATAAGTGGTCGAAGCGCTGTTAGAAGACCTCACCAAAGAAACCTACCTAACCTTACCGACCTTCTTAATCGGGAGGCGGGGGCTCTGCCTGACCCCCCCCCCCCCGGATATTACACCATATCATAGCATGATATGGTATAATTTTACGTTTTTTTGTGGACGTAATATAATCCGCTCCGACCAAGAGGCTCGTAAACAATGAGCTGAGGAAAACATGTGTGAATTTGACCGCTATACATAGCTGCGAAAGACGAAGTAGTGCCGTTAGGTTTAGGAGGGAGATAGGAAGGAACTGGTTCACAAATAGGGTGGTGGACGAGTGGAACAAGCTTAGCAACTTTGTAGTAAGTGCTGGAACTCTGGAAAGTTTTAAAAGGAGGCTGGATAGATTCATGGATGATAGAGAGTGGTAGTAACTCTCGACAGGAGCTGCCATGCACAGGCCAACCGGCCTATTGCAGACTCCTTATTTTAAGTTCTTATGTTCTAATTATCTACCAAACGAAGCATTTCCCCAAATAAATTAATGTCATATCCTAACTCAGCTATGAAACTATAGGAAGAAAAGATCCATAAAAACAAATTAAACTCCAACGGGTCAGTCGTCAATATTAACCCATTTTGACATTGGAGTGAAAAGTCATATAGGCATAGTAATCCGTTGTAAAATTTCCTTGGTAGGAAGGAAACCATCTCTTCTATAGTAGTGGTGTCGGTACAGAGCCTTGGTATTGAGCTGAGACACACCGAGGCTCTTTTATTATTAATGATTGTAAGAGTCAACATTTAAAGATAAATGCGGTAATGTCGAGAGTATACAATATTGTTGATTAATTTAATAACTGGTCCCATTTATATATGCTATGTACTCCTACATTTGATCATATTTTCCGACGTTAGTGTTGCTAAGAGTTGAGACAGACTTCTTATGCTTCTTATTCTAAAGCCATTGGATTTAATCGAATCCTAGCTATGATCGCTGATGATTTTAAAGATTTATGTTGGAGGTGAC